GTTGAAGCTGGGTCCGGGGGAGATAGCCACCCAAAAAACCCTGAAAATTTTGGTTTGGGATCGAAATCAAGGGTTGTTGCCAAGTTGGAATCTTTGGATTGTTTGGAAAAATGTTTGGGTTGGAAACATCAAACCATTTCCAGTTCATTACAAGACCTGTTGGATGTTGTTCCCACCACGAAATCTCTTGGGGAAATTTGTGGGGCTGATATCCAATGGCTTCAAGGGGAAAAAGAACGGTTGGAAAATGACTTGTTCCTGGTCCGTGATGCCCAAAATAAACGGGTTATTAAAATGTGTGGCCTTCAAACTGATGATGTCATGGCCGTGAATCCGGGGGAGGTCTTGCAAACAACCACAATCCCTTTGAATGAAGTCAGAAATGAACTTGGGGAATGGAAAGATGCGATGATGAAAGAATACAACAGTTTGGTCCATGAAACCAAGGCCATTGAACCTGTTGACCTTTCCATGTTGAACCAAGAAGCGGTTGAGTTTGTTCCTGGAAAACTTGTGACTGTTCGAAAAGCGGGTCCAAATGGTGGAAAAAAGAAATGTAGAGCAGTAGTTTGTGGAAACCTGCTGCAAAGTGACTTGGATCCTGCTCCGGGCAATCTCTACGCTTCTGGCGCTGATGGCATTCTGATCAGAGCTACACTGGCTCACTCCGTGCAGATGGGATGGGGCGCTGGCATTACCGACATTCGCACAGCATTTCTCCTTGCTCCTCGGCCGAAACCTCAAGATGCCCGGGAGGTGATTGTTGTGCCCCCAAAAATACTTGTGGAAGCCAAGGTTTGCAGCCCTTCTGAACGGTGGAGAGTTCATAACGCTTTGTATGGGTTCACTTCAAGCCCCGCACATTGGGCGGTGCACAGGGATCAGGTCATGAGTGGGTTCAAATGGAAGATGGATGGTTGTGACTTTTCCCTCAAAAGAACCGAAGAAGGGAACTTGTGGAAAATCATGAAGCATGGTCATGGGGATGCCGAACCAACATGTGAAGGTCATGTTATTGTTTATGTGGACGACATCATGGCTCTTGCAAATGACAATGTTCGAAACTCCTTTTTTGACCGGTTGAAAAAAGAATGGAAGTGTTCCGATGTTGAAACTGTTGACAAAAATGAATGGATCCGGTTTTGTGGTTTTGAGTTGAAGCGACATGATGATGGGGTGAGTTTGATGGTAGGACAAAAGTCTTACACTGCTGAGTTGTTGAAACGTCATGAACATGTTTCCCCAAAGTCATGCCCCATGCCAAAACTGGACAGTTCAGAAACGGATGAAACGGATATCACAACACCTGATGTCCGTGCAGCCCAAGCAATCACAGGTGAACTGCTTTGGCTTTCTGTGAGAAGTAGGCCTGACATAGCCTATGCTGTAAGTGTCATGGGAAGGAATGTTACTAGAAAACCAAGGTGGGTCCAACAGTTGGGACAACACGTGCTAGGGTTTTTGTGTAACACCCCAGAAACTTGCCTCCTGTACCGCCCTTGCAACAAGGACCACGGTGCACATGGCACACTTCAGGTACCAAGGCATGAGAAGCTCATTGAGGCCTTCGCCGATATCAGCTTCGCTCCTCAAGGTGACCGCAGTCACCAGGGCATCATTCTATGTGCTGCAGGATCTCCAATTCAGTGGGAGGCAACTCGGCAGGCATTTCACACCATGAGCACAGCGGAATCCGAATTGGTTGGATACTGCGAAGCCACAACAATGTTGAAATCTGCTGAAGCCCTATTGAAGGTTATCCATGGTTCATGCAACACGGGTGATGGTCTTGATGGGTTTGAAAAGGTTATTTATGGGGACAATTCAAGTGCACTTAGCATACTTATGAACCCTGATGGTGGATGGAGAACACGCCATTTGAGGCTTCGTTCGTCTTGCTTGCGTGAGTTGTTGAAAAGTGACCCCCAAACATGGAAAGTCAGACACCAAAGGGGAGTTGACCTTCCCGCTGACATGCTCACCAAACCAATCACGTTGTTGAGGGATTGGGTTAAGTTCTGGCATTTCCTTGGGTTTCATGTTGATGCGTCAATCCCCAAATATGACCCCGAAAATACACCTCAAAAAACCTCCAAAGGGTCTTCCAAAACAACCGCCACTTCAGGACCTGATGAAACTAAGGGATCTGATGATGTGGTGACCAAGGTGAAGGTGATCGTGGCTATGGCTGCGCTGGCTGTGGCGTCTTCAGCAGCTGGGCGAGCTGACGTGCGGCTGGCCTGTGCTACTGCTGCTGCTGCATGCGCTGGATGGCTGGCTTGCAACTGGCACCCTGCGCCTTCAAATCGGATCGATCCAAAGAGATCTGTTTAGACGGGAGGGAGGTGGAAAAACCATCAAGAGCCATTGGCCTCAAAAGCGAAAAAGATGCCAGGGGAGATGAACCGGCCAAAGAAAAACCTCCAAGGGAAAATGAACCTGGAGGCATAAACCCTCAAATAAGAACCAAAAAATGTGTGAGATCTCCAAGGGAAGATGAACCTGGAGAAAACAGTTTTGGGAAGGTTTGGGATAGAACCCCTGAAAATGGTAATTGGGCTCACCGAACCTATGAAAGTCGAAGGGATTTTTGGGACAGTAACCCCGAAGAAGGTCCCGTTTTTGGGGATTTTGTGGCAGGAAACAGCTGTGGCATGGCGCACAACAGTTTTGAGGCCGTTGGTGGTGACTCTGAAGATGCTGTTGAAATGTTGCAGCCACTGTTGGCTGATACCTACCACTGCCCTACGGGCTGCCCAAAAGTTCCGGCCGTGCGTTTAGCTGCCATGGCCCCTAAGATGTCCAAACCTGCGCCGCCGCTGCCGCCGCAAGAGCCGGGCTTTGCTGCTCCAAAGGCCGCTCCTAAGCCTGCAGCTGTGCGCCGCAAAGCGCCGCCGATGATGCTGCAATGCGCTGCGGCGATGGGTGCACCTTCAAGCTCCTCTGAAATAAGGGGACCCTACATCGGCGCTTGGCCGAAGTTTCCTCCAGCCCGTCGAGATGCAGAAATGGCTCAGAAGGCTGCTGGTGGAACCATGCTGGACGGTATGCCAAGGCATGGACCCTGGCTGGATAGTCGGTACCTCCAGCCGAACACCACAGGAAAAAAGGACTCTTGGTCCGTTGCGAAGTGCGGGGAAGAAATCTTCTTGGTCAAAGTACACAAGTCACCGAGGAAACAGAGGTTTCATCCACTGCACCGTTCGGCACCAATTGAAGCCCAATTCCTGACTGGTGAAAGGGTCACAAAAGCCTTTTTTGTGAATCCTGCTGATGGAGTGGGGTTCTTGGTTGCTGACCGATGGGACGATCCGGTCGTCAGAGCCGAGTCACGATGGATCGGCTACACCTTCCTGACAATGAGGCGGGAAGTCATGGAAAAGATGAACCTGAGCATCCAGCTGGAGCCGGCTGCAACTGCAGAAGACCCTCCATGGCCCCAGACTGAGGTGCCCAAAGATGATGACCTAGACGTGCACGTGGGACAGCACTATGAAATGGAGACGCCACGACGTCACCGACCACAACAAGCTCCTGGTTTGATGGTTGGACGCTTGTACCTGGATGGTTGTTTGGCCAGCAGTCAGAGCGGAACCGTGTCAAGTGGTGGTTCCTCTGAGCTGCGGCTGGTTCCCCTTTTGGAGCCGACCAGCCAACACAACAAGACCTCTGGAGCACCCACGATAGGATATAGCCGTGGTGGTGTGATCCAACGTGGGGTCGCTGCTATGCCCTCCTCTACGGGTTCAGACTTGGGCTCGCTGCCGAAGTCCTACGTCCCCCTGACCGTGGAATGGGACGTCACCAACACTTTGAGCTCAGACTCTAGCCAAAGGGTCCCTGACTCCTTCGTCTCCCATGTCGAAGAGTGGTCTTTGCTGACCGACCCTGAGTCAGATGATGCCAATGTGAATGAGGAGGAGCCCTAAAACAATGAAGACCTGGAAAAGCGCTGCTGAGAGCCGGGCTACGATAGCCATTTTGGCTAAGCTTTTGTGAGTTTCCGCAGGTGGCTGCGGGGGGGAGTGCGATTCACCAAGCACTTCACCAGTCCCTGTGGAATTTTAAAAACTTAGAAGTTGATATGTGGTGGCATGCACCAACCATAGCATGGCCACTGCACAAGGATGAAACATGACTGCCATTGCAAAATGGCTCAAGGGCGAGACGAAAAAGGTCTTGCCTAGCAGCTGCTGCTTCAGTTGTTGATCCACGGTTTTAAACTGTTTTACAACTTATAGAACTTAAGAGTTATAAGATGTCAGAAGTTGTAAGCCAGTGATGGCATCGCTCTTAAAAACCGAGGGGCCATTTTTGCTGCATTTTTGACAGATTTGGTGCTGGAAAGAGATTGGATTTTTCAAAGTCTCCAATGCGGTTTGTTATTTTTCGAGACCTGGCATTGATCCAATTTTCGACACTGGATTGGACATGAGGTGGGTTGGTTTCATGCCGCATTGATGATGACTGCCCCATCACTGTCAAGAAAAGAAAAATCATGTACTTTGCTCGGTAGGATCTCCACCATCGCAAAAGATTCTGACGTAAATGCTGACATACAAGAAATATATAATATATAGACATTACATAACTATGTTGTGTCATATGCTGATACTTAAATAATATATATATATATATATAAATACACATTCTGACATAATCTTTGACATATTTCTTGGAACCAATACGCTTTCGATCTGAAGGATTGATATGGATGAGAGACTCGAGGAGCATTTCGCATGGTTGAGCAAGCTATGTTGGGGTCCGTTTGTTTGTGGACCCCAAAAAAGACAGAAAGTAATTCATCTCCAAATCGACTAGGGTCTTATTTTTCCATCTTTCTTTGGGGTTGCTATATCGTTCTATACGCTATTCTGCTTACAGTAAGGACCAGGATAACGATAATTCATTGTGGAAATCGATACTCCGAATGTCAGCCGTAAGGACCCCCAAGCTCCGTGCCACATTGAGGAATCTTTTCCCCGGGGGAAATCATCAACATGACCGTGGCGGAGATAGTAGAGGTGTGGCGGAGCTGACATCACGTACACATGGTTGATGTGGTTAAGTTGATGGGGTTTTGAAGTCATCGACACATACCCTCTGGTAACTTAACATAGCTATTGAACATGGCGATTTATACCGTGATTCACCTATTTGAAATGGTGGTTTTCCATAGCAATGCTTGTTGAGGGTATGCACAAACTGCAGCCGTGGATGATCTCCACCAGGTAGCTGGAGCAGAATGGAACTACACCATGGTCTTTCGAGGTGGGTGACGGACACACATTGCTGGATAAATTGGCACAGTACCTGACCCAACATGAAAGTCATAGACTGCAAAGGATTGGGATGATTCCCATTTTTCAGGATGGGTGAAATTTCAGAAGTGTCACTGGATTAGTTTAAGGGACTGTTTAAGGGACACCTCTATTTTTCATGGTAAAAAACCATGCTTTCCTGTAGATGATCTCTTCAACCAGTGCCAGTGAAAGTGGGATAGTTCTCTGTGGAGAACTTGGTGCCAAGAACTCAAGCTTTGCACCACGAGGTTCTGAATTCATTGTGACCACGAATTGCTTCACTGCGCAGAGCAACTCCGCTATGGCTGCACTCGGGCGGGAATGAAGCAACAAAAACAAGGGGATTTGAAATAGGCATATCATTGCCACCCCGGGTCTATGTTAGCTGGTGGCATGGTAGCATTTTTTTAGCAGCCAATCAAATTGGGTCATCAATCAGCAAAGGTGCAGATCATCAATCATTCCTCACAGTTGAAAACCCATTGTTTTTTTTGACTGGCTAACCATGGGAAAACCAAACGCAACTCACAACGCATGTTACCGAAAAAAACCAAAACAGTGGGCCTTGGAGTTCCATGTGTCTTTCAATGACATTTGGAGCCAGGCAGTTTTGCTTGGTTGAGAGCCTTGATAAATTTGGGTATGAATAGCTATTGCCCATGCCTTTCCTGACTGAAATCACATCCCCCAAGCCGTTGACAGACTAGTCCACCAGCAGCTTTTTGGCACTCGCGCCCATATACATATGTATCTATAATATACTTGTATATATATATATATACATGTATATGTATGAACACATCATATGCACACATGCATAATCATGTATGTAATATTTAATATATTGTAATATTATGTAATTAGTCCTTTCCCACTTAGTACCAGTTAATCCCCCCGCTCTCCTAATCATAAGATATGATAAACACCTGGAGAGTCTTTATTATTAGGGGGTATTTGGTATTAGGGTGAGAAGCTTCCCCCTGATAATGAAATCAAAACCTTAATCAAAAAACACCAAAAGATTCGATTGCAAAATCGACCGATGTCCTTTTAAAATTCTATAGAAGATATTGCCTAAAATTAGATTTCGAAGATTTTTCCCTAATGATCACATCAACACCTTATTTGTTCAAAAACTAAGATTTTCGATTGCAAAAGGCGGACGATAATAAAAAAACACCCAGACGTAAATTAGTTTGTATTTTTAGGGGGCAGACTCACATTTTTGGGTATGCAGGCCTTCTATTTCTGTTCAATTGCCACAATTGAACCCTAGTTTCTAGTATTATTATTTGAGGGGAAGTTTAGTAGTAGGGAGAAGAGATTTTATCTATAAATATACAATATATATATTGTATATATATATATAATATATATATATTGTATATATATAATATATATATATATATTGTATATATATAGTATATATATATATTGTATATATATATATAATATATATATATATGTCAAAAATGGTTGGCTCCAATTGCCGTGGTTGAACCCGGGCCACCAACTGAGAATCCGCAACATTCGCCCAGACCCAGGAGATTTGCCGCCGGCGCTCTACTGGGGACAGATAGACCCTGTGTCTCCTCGGGAGGAGCTTCCGCACCATGGCGCGGAGCGTCTAAAACGGGTTTGGTCATCCTATGAAGTCCCATGAAATCTGAATGATATGGAGGTTTCCTAAAATGGTGGTACCCAAAAATGTTTTTTTTTTTTTTTTGAAAGCCTTTTTTTTGCTGGGGATCATTTGATGAAGGGTAGAAAAGCTACCCATTGCTACCTATATTTTGATGGTTTATAATGCCCATTTATGGCAAGAGTCTACCATTGCTTTATCAACATTAACTGGGGTTTACAACCATTCACCAAGCACTATAAATGGTTGCTTAATGGTGGGTTAATGTTTGGTTAATTGAGTTCAAAAACCCTAGCTCCATGAAATTAGAATCGCTATGAACTACCAACCATGATTTTCGGGATTTTCCATGAGCATTCTGACACTGCCCATGTCACATGGGTAGGTCCCTGGAATTCGGGCAGACCTGAGCCTAGAACCAAGGCTGGAGACAGTCCAAATGTGTGAGGTCATAGGGTATCTGCAACTTGATGACCCCCAACATATGAAGCTAATAGTGGTTCCAGCATGAGGCCTACTGAAAGTCTAAAGTGCAACACCAATAATAAGGAAAACATATGAAATCATTATTTTTTCCCCAATTTTTGGACCAAAAGAAGCCTTTCAGATTTTATAGCAGCCCTGAGGCTCTGCATGATTGCTTTTACGTGGCTTCAAGCTTCGCTACTTGGCGCTTTTACGGTGCAAGTCATGAATCCAACATGGGATGGTTTAGGAATTCGAGAACTTGCCAACAGCAAGGAGTCGCAACGACGATTTTTTAAGCAATGCTTATCCGACCTTTTGCCTTCAAAAAAACTTTGGTCTCAGGATACCAAACTTCAGTTTGCCCCCCCAAAAAAGCATTCTTTTCGGGGGTTCCCAATGTGAGATTTCTCCTAAGTACCTGAACATTCAATGGAGACAGATACTTATGATAGATTTGCCCTTTGGGTATGGCTCAAGCTGATTGATTGAGCTCCGAACATTTGGATTTTGTGTTTTTTTCACATGACCTGCAAAATTATTTGGCTGCCACCCCAATGGCATGAACCATCCTGCCATCTGACCACCGGATAAACCGTTCAGCTGATTCAAATGTCACGAGGTCGGTGTCTTATTCCACAACAGGAGGTTTCGCTCGTGATGTGACCATCAGTCGCTTGTCGCCATGCGAGAACGCCGAGTTGCTGGGTTGCTGGACAACTTGGATAGTCCCAATTGGTTGCTTGATCTACGATGACAATCACGAAATCATGGAATGCAACCCAATCAATTGGGGATCAACGTGACAAGACTTGCAAATCTGGCTGGTCAACATGTCGGGATCAAAGAAGCAGATGGACCGCTCATTTTTAGCATTGAAGCCGTCCCGATATTCAGATAAGAGCTACAGACATGATGACTTTCGCCAGAAATGAATGGACAGCCATGTAGACATTAGCATATAGGGGTTGCTGCCATGGCTCTGACCAGGATTCCAAAGAGGGAAGACCATCCACCCCAGAGCATCCGCCAATTTTTATTGCTTGGCGAATCCCATATTTGGGGATATACAATATACAACTAAGTTCAACTAAGGTTTATTAATCTTCCCACATATTGGTTGGTTTACCTCCCAATAATTGTTGCTGGTTAATCCCATTTTTGTCGAAAGCCCCGACCAAAGCCTGGCTGAGTCTTGGAACTTCATTTTGTTTTCTTGCTCTACATTTTTCTTTTAATCAGAGAAATGACACACACATATATATACATATATATACACATTATGTAGACATATTATGATCATGTCATCAAATTATACTATACACATTGGGAAGGTTAATACATTGGTTGAAGGGAAAATCTAGAGGAAACCATTCTTTTGACCAAGGAGTGACTGCCCTCAGAGGCGACAGCTTCAGCCGGTTGCCTTCGGTGCAGTTTTCGCTGTTGCGCCGCGGCAAGTGGAGGTGTTTGTCAAAATGAGATGATTTTGATGGGAAATGATGACAGGTTAACCAACAAAACTAGGGATTTCAGCAACAACAACAGGGATTTAACCTTGAAAACCACAGATTGAACCAACAAAACAGGGAAAATTTTGGATGGATTCATTTTGATGGGAACATCTACGGCTACTGGATGACACCTCATTCTGTTCAATCCAACTGGTGAGGATATCAGTGAGGATTAGTGAACTGAGGAACTGAGAGAAGACACCCCACAGCACTTTTTTCTTTTAATAAGTATATCATCGTATATCTTTGTATATACTTAAGCAATCAATATATATATATATATATACATATATAATCATACATTATATAGTATTATATACATACATGTTTATCTATCTATCTATCAATCAATCTATCTATCTATCTATCTACCTACCTACCTACCTACCTAATCTATCTATCTGTCTGTCTGTCTGTCTACCTACCTACCTACCTACCTACCTATCTATCTATCTATCTATCTATCTATCTATCTATCTATGTATCTATGTATATCCGTAGATCAGTGGGATCATCTTGGATCTGGGGGATATTAATGGATATTGAACCCGAAGATTCCCATGGCTTTCCCGTGGTGAACATGGCTTCGCGAAGGATGAATTTCAATTTTGCCCATGATTTGGGGTGAAAAAACAATAAAAACCCTCCAGTGTTTAATCGAACAAGCAGGAAAATCCCGAAGAAATGGAGGTTGGAAAAATACGTAGTTTTTTCATGCGAAAAGTATCCATAAATGGTGGATTTTCCAGTTTGATTACCGGAGGGTAATGTCGTGTGAACTTTCCATGAATGATTGTAGCTGATGATGGAATTCCGCCCTCAAGCAATCAGTAGTTCAGTTCACTGAGGAATTTGGTGTCCCTAGCTGCTACTTGGCAAACCGGGATGGGAGCTTTGGGGATGATTTCGCTGATGCTTTGGCACCAAACCCTCAAACATTTCCCAAATGAGGATACAACTGAAAATCAGTTCCCAGAACCAATGGGAAGATTTACAGGACACATATCATATACTTATCATATACTTATCATATACTTATCATATACTTATCATATACGTATCATATACTTATCATATACTTATCATATACTTATCATATACTTATCATATACGTATCATATACGTATCATATACTTATCATATACTTATCATATACGTATCATATACTTATCATATACGTATCATATACTTATCATATACTTATCTTATACTTATCATATATGTATCATATACGTATCATATACTTATCATATACTTATCATATACTTGTCATATACTTACCATATACTTATCATATACTTATCATTTACTTATCATATACGTATCATATACTTATCATATACTTATCATATATATCATATACGTATCATATACGTATCATATACTTATCATATACTTATCATATACTTATCATATACTTATCATATACGTACCATATACTTATCATATACTTATCATATACTTACTGTATCATATACGTACCATATACTTATCATATACGTATCATTTACTTATCATTTACTTATCATATACTTATCATATACGTATCATATACGTATCATATACGTATAATATACTTATCATATACTTATCATATACTTGTCATATACGTATCATATACTTATCATATACTTATCATATACTTATCATATACGTATCATATACTTATCATATACTTATCACATATATCATTTACGTATCAAATACTTATCATATACTTATCATATACTTATCATATACGTATCATATATATCATATACGTATCATATACGTATCATATACTTATCATATACTTATCATATACTTATCATATACTTATCATATACTTATCATATACTTGTCATATACTTGTCATATACTTATCATATACTTATCATATACTTATCATATACGTATCATATACTTATCATATACTTATCATATACTTATCATATACTTATCATATACGTATCATATACTTATCATATACTTATCATATACTTATCATATACTTATCATATACTTATCATTATCCACATTTAATGGATCTAAAAAACCATGTGTTTTGACCAATTCATCGGCGTTGTTAGCTCCACGGCCGCAGGTGTTGTTGTCCATCCCCCCAGCCTTCACCGGTCTCTTGGCGCGCAGTGGTCTGGGGCCGCTGTCCAAGATCTATCGGCAAGCGACTCAGGAGGCGGAGTCGCTGCCATTGATGGCCCATGTCCTGCCGGTTTTGGGATGTTTTTTTTGGCAACTGGGAGACATATGGCATACTCATCATACTATTATGTACTACTAAAATTTATTAAATGGTTGAGACTTCTGAAAGGCTAGCCGTGACATTCCAGCTGAAATCCAGCAGACTTCCAATGGCTTTTGGTGTTTTTTTTGCGATGCCGGACATTGAGCTGGGAGCCATACTTTTGTTTTCCATGGTTTCAAAGGGGCACTGTTTCTATTTCACTGATTTCACCATGGCTCAGTAACAAGGCTCTGATCCATTTCCCCAGCCCAAAAAGGTCATGCGAACAATGAGGATTTTATGAACATCATTTTTTTTTGAGGATTACTCAAGTAGTGTAAATATCCCCTGAACAAACCAACCGGCTCCAGACTCAGCCGCCAGAAATTCGACATGCCCATGCAGCTGGCCACTGCTGGGTTGAATTCCATTGTGCCTCGACAGTGCCGTGGGGGGTCCGCCTTCATGGCATCGGTGGCCACGATGGGGAGATGACCATGGCGTGTGAAAAATGACGAAAAATGACTCTTCCATTGGCCGCTAATGAAGAGGGTAAAATGATGTAAAATGATTGGATGAGCCATCCAATTTCAGTACCATAGCCATTTGGAGTAGATCAGCACGATGGGGATAGAAGGAGCAATTTTGATGCGGATTTGGGGTGCTGCGGAAATGAGGCGTAGGCGGAAAAAAACACCAGGAAATCGCACAACTCATCTGCTATCAATTTTTTTGACAACACACATGGGAATGTCACTAATAGGCAACGTCACGGTATTTATGCTGCAATTTTTCACAATTTCTACATATTGATACACCAACTGCCTGCGGTCAAACTTGGGGACCTAAATTTGCAGGTCATAACTTGGTGGTGACACACAAAAAGGAGGCTGAAATCCCACGAGAATCTGGTAAAACAGACTCTAAAATTGTTGGTGATTTAATTTTTGGATATTTTTGGTATACCCCATTGAGTGCGAAAACGAGCAAGTGTCGAGGCCGGTCTGAAATTGTAATCCGTGGTCACATGGGGCTGTTAGCTGTGAATGTTAGGAAAGAAACACTCTGGTTGTTGATGCAACTACAGATTGAGTGATAAACTCTCGGCAGGTTCAAAACTACCGTTCAACAACTACTGTGATAGCAGACGGAGAAATACTTGGGCCAGAAACTCTGAAACTTATGCTTGCTGATTCAAAACCTAAAGAGGCCGCGGAAGTTTGGAGGTGTCACTAGGGGCCATACCATACCTACTAAGTATATACCTTTGACATAACAGTCATATGAGCAGTGACGGCTAAACTTGTGTTGATTGATGATTAGTTCGGGGGTTATACTATGTTATACTACTACCCAATATTATAGATAGTTACGGGTTCGAATACATGAACTAGGGATCCTGCATCCCGTTAGCCAACCAGTATTTACCCTCTGGTAATTTAACATAGCTATTGAAAATCACAATTTTTAATGGGAAAATCCACTATTAATGGTCATTTTCAATAGCTATTTTGACATAACCAGAGGGTAGCGGCCAAGGCCAATGTCGCGACCTTTGGAAGTTTGGCCAGCTCCACTTTGTCCAAGGAGGAACTAAAGGTTTGTTCCTGGGCTGGTTTGATCGCTTCGAAGATTGAAATCGGGATGCCCCATATTGAATCAGAATATTCCGTCATATTCCGTCAATCAAAAAGGGTGTCAACTAATTTAAGATAATTTATCTATAGAATCTTTTAACAACATGTTTCCAACATTTTCCCACTGCCGGCTGTTTGTGTGCGCCGGGAAAGGCTCTTTCGGGACCGGCCTCATTTTCCTCAAGCATCCACATGATCATTGGAAGTTCCAACAAGGGGAGTTTCCCCAAATTGGAAGTTCCCTATAATAAATCAATTATATATCAACATATCAATCAACTAAAAATCGCTAAGAATCCCAGTTTGTTTTGCTTCAACACATCTGAACAAATCTGGATTTTCACGGGTGATTTTTTTATCAGCCGCAGCCCTGTTCCACAGCCGAAAGGTTTGAGGGATGCCATGGCCACCTCAACAAAGAACTTGGAGGAAAGAGACCTGGACCGCTTGACCAATTTCATTTTTGCACCTTGCCTTGGCGGCCTGGATCCCCAAAAAAAGCCGCAAAAGGGGGTTGAGTGGCTGGGTGAGCAGAATACATATGTATATATATATGTATATACATATATACACATAAAACACACATTATATATATATATACACATTAATTATATGTATATATAATTATATATATATACATATATATATATATACACATTATGATATGTATATATATTGGAGCTTAGTTGTAAGTGTTACTTTTGCGGACAGAGTGGGGAATGCTTGGCAGTTTTTCAGGGCCCAATTGCCATAGAACGGGTTGGCAGGGGTTCCCCACGATGTTGCGCTTTTTTGCGCTTCTTTGCGCGACGTGCAATGGCTGGTGGTTCGAGACGAACCGGACTGGCCCTACAACTCCACCAACTTGGTGGGATCAGGTGGGCGATGCTTTTCCGAGGAGCAGAGCTACCTAAGACGGATGGCGGGACTGGGGATTTGACCGATGGGAATCCGCCAGGGAGACTGCCAAGGGATGGGATCCCACCAGGTGGGAGTACGGACTATGGCTGGTGATCGACACCGTAGTGAGTTTCGGTGGATGGCTGATTTTCGGATCTTCGTGGAATGGAGTCAGAACGGGATGCAGAAGGCTGGCACAAGTAGGTATGCTCTTGGCGCTTTGTCTGGCTGCGCACTACGTATGGGCTGTATGCTACCCAGTGGTCTCCATCCTGGTAGGTCTGATCATGGCACTCATCTGGGTGCTGAGGAGGACATTGAAGGTGGTCGGAACCGTCTTCTTCCACGCTCAGAAGCTGGTTGGGATGGCGCCAGAGGCAGCAGACGTCACCTTCATAGGACCTGGCACGGGCACGGTGCCTGAGACATCAGCTTTGCGGAGCTTCAAGCGCACAGGTGAGCAACCGAAACTGGTAGTGGTACGGCGTGGGAATGCCACTGCAGTTTTTGGACTGGGAGGCGATTCACAGAGCATTCGAACCCATGGTCTCTACGTCCCTGTGGAGCCAGACACCATCCGAGGCGATCAACAACTTGTGGAGCGGTTGAAGCGATCCGACAGAGTTCATTTATGTCGCAACGCTGCTTGCACTGAAGAAGGGGGGGAACACTTCCTAGAGTATGGCGTCGTTTGCAAGTTCAACCCGGAGCGTTTCCAGTCTGCACAGGCTCATCAGGGCGCAGTGGATGCCGGACGAACTCTGTGGAGCTGGTTACAACCACCCAAGGTTGGAATGGGTGTGAATCGCTTGGTGAACAAGGTGAAGGAGTACGCTTCTGAGTCTGAAGCTGAGGACTCAATGCCATGCGCTGCTGGGAGAATCCGCTGGAATGGAACGAATGGGATCGAATGTTTAGCACCTAGTCGATGTACAGCGCCTGGTTCATTGTTTCACCCAATTTTGCATGAAGATGTGCCGGAAGGCTTGCACGAAGTAGGTCTGTGCCCCAAGCATTCCAATCACTACATGTCCCAACGGGCCCCAATGAAATGTTGTGTCATAAACTGTCAACATGAGGGAACTAAGCTCCGATCTAGTGTCCGGTGGTGTGTCGAGCACTGCTGTCGGGAGAGTCGACCAACCTCAACGTCCAGAAGGAGCAGGTCCAGGTCGAGGGCACGACGCACTGAGGATGAGGGGCACACGGAGGCTGAAGAGGGCGACGATGGCTATGAGGAGGACGAGGACAACGGCCCCCCCACAGCGCAGACGTTGTTGCGGGAGGCTGTTGATGCGGGCCTTCCACCATCCCGCACGAGGAAGAGGCCTCCTTCAAGATCCCCTGGTCACACTCCGAAAGCCGGTATCCATAGGAGCCTTGCCAAGATTGGCATGCTGGATTCGCCTGGAACCGATCTTGGGAGCTGGAGAAGTTCATGGAGAGGTATGCCATGAGACGAGATGAGGGAGTGAGGGAGGATCAGGTGAGATTGAAGATGTGCCAGGAGCATTTGATGTCAACAGGAGAGCTGCTCGCAGAACTTATCAAAGAAGGTGAGGAGGAACAGAGCCGAGGACAGAGAGGATTGACCCGGTTTCTCAACTGCTGGAGGCGAGCCATTGAGCAGGAGACCAAAGGGAGGAGCCAGCGTTCTGATTCCGACTGGAGTGTGGTGATGGGAAAGGCTGAGACCCCCTTGACGAGCCCTGAGCAGGTCTCTTACCCCCCGGTCCCTGCTTCACTAAAAAGACCCGAGGCTGTTGAGAAACCCCCGACTCAGAAGAGCCCAACTGTCAAGGTCGAAGGTACACCAGGCGGCAGTTCGACATCGGCACAATCCCCATCCATGCCAGGAGGAGAACCTCGAGAAGTACGTGTGGCCCCACCTGGTCTCTACAAGAATGACCGCAAGGCCGGAACCGGAGAAACTGCTGAACCCATGGAGAACATCGCCAGGGCAATTCAGAGTCAGACGGCGGAACTGGCTACGCTGGTGCGACGCCAAGCTGAAGGAGGTGGAGCCCAACCAGCTGGGACCATTCGAGGCTTGAATCGACAATCGGAGGAGCTGGTATTCCTCATGAGAGCCTGCGGACAGTACAGCGTCCAGGTAGGGGCTGGAGAACATGGACAGGCATTGGCCAACAGTCTTTTAGCAGCCCAGGTTGGAGCTTCGACCAAATTGCGAGCAGCTGGGTTCCGTCAGCGTATGACAACACGCTTGGCGGTGGGATTGGCTGGACCGTACTGGGGTTCAAACGAGAAGCATGCGCTTTCGGCATCCGACTTCCTCAGCTTCACCGATGCGGAGTTGGACCAGTTTGCATCTGAGAACAAGGTGGCAAAGGGGGCGAGCGATCAGAGGCCTCCCCCTCCGAGCCGGTTTGATGAATGGGTTGCGAGAGTGAGGAGGCAGACCGATGTTTGGTGCCTGGTCTATGGAGAGGAATGGAGAACGGTCAGGACTTCGGCTGTGGATCTACTCTCCCAATGGCACCTGGCCTATCCCCACAGATGGCCCCTGCACATTATCATGGACCTCTGGGAGGAGTTGTCATGGCGATTGATGGAGGACTTCAAGGAGATCTTGAGGAAACTGAAGAAGGAGGTTGGACGCGAAACCATGACGTTGAATGAGCTCCGCTTTCATGCTCTGCTGCCCGGCCCTGACGGTCAGGCGTGGCTACAGATGCCATCCACCTTTGATTTGGAGAGGCCGGACTCATGGTTCCAAACGGAGGTGATCCCAAGGATCGAAAGGAAGCAGGAGAGGTTGCTCTGGAACTTGACGTGGCAGAACGGAGCTCGACGGGAACGACCTCAAGGACAGAGTCCCCCCACGGCAGGAGGAGGAGATACCGACAAGCCTACGTTGAAAAGCCTGTGGGGCCCGAAGCTGACGAGCGAGGAGGTTAATAGAGCCAAAGATCGGGCCCCCTTGGACAAGCACGGCAACCTCTTGTGTTGGGGAAACCTATGCCATGTAGGCTGCACCACAACAAACTGTCAGAGGTCGCATGATGGATTGAGAGGCACCTTCGAGAGCTTAGACCCGTGTGTCCAGATGCAAATGTTGAAGAGAGGGGGCCTGAAGCGCATGAAGATTGAAACCAAGGACAGCGTCAACCACAAGATCAAGGACATCAGACAGAGAGTTGAGAAGGACCGCCAGGACAAAATCCAGGACGGGAAGAACAGAGGGGGACGAGCAGGAGAGAAGGAGGCTGCAGACCCCCATGAGGAAGGAGCAAAAGCAGGAGGAAGTCGAAAGTCAGTGAGATTCTGGGATGTCCCACAGGAGTTCAAGGTCGACTACACGAGCCAGGAAGACATGAAGGATTTGGTTGCGGGACCCAACCTGAAATGGGAGAATGACGCCTATCAGCCTGCCGTGCAGCATGGAGGTCGAGGAGGTGAAAGCGCACCACAAGAGGCCAGGAGGTTGGTTCAGGAGGCTGAGAACCTGGGCAAGTCAGAGACACTGAAGCGCCTCGAGGGTGCTTCCGACGACCTCTACGCTTGGGCAGCGGCAAGAGTGGCACGTGACCCGGCTGTGGACTCCAACACCCTGTTGTCCGAGATGGCAACCTACGGCCTTGGAGAAGTGGCAAAGGAGGCAGCAGATTTGTTGGAGCAACAACCGGACTTGAAGGCTGGTTCAGCACGGATGTGCATAGGAGACATGAGATGGGCAGATGGCTGCCCTGGACAAGGCACCATGACACTGGACGGTGAAGCCTGGGAGGTATGGGACTTCAAGGAGGAGATTTGGATGACGGATGAGTTGGCATCACTTCTCAAGGTCCCGGAGCCCGTGATTGAGAAAAGGCAATGCGTGACCTTGGCAGTGGCAGCTGGAATCGTGTGGGCAGAAAAGGGGCAGAAGCCAGAGGCTCAGGAGGTTCAAAGGAGGGCACAGGACTACAGGTTAGAGCAGACAAGATTGGCGGTGGAGGCAGCCCAAACATTGGGAGATCCTGACGAGGTCGTGACGGCAGTGGAGCATGAGATGCGGGTCTATGTTCATGACCTCACCACCGCGCACCACGAGAAAGACTTCAGGAGCCTGGCTGTCTTCCCCATCAACGACCTACAGGATGTCAAGGTGGTGGTGCTGAGAACCGACTACAGAGGAGGAGTGATTGTCGAGAGTGTGGTGGGGCCCCACTGGAAGCCGGGAGGAACTATGGTATGGGTCCTTATCCACAAAGGCCACATGACACTCATCCGCCCACCATCGGAGGCAGTCGCAAATCGGTTGATCGAAGAGGAGGAGCACACTACCACACCGGCATTTGGGTTCACCTTCTTCTGGCATAGCAGGCATGATCAAACCCCAACTTCACCGGGAAAAACTCACTGCAGGCTGTGCCGAACAACTCGGAAGGCGGGGACGTGGACGGATTGTTACAGGCAATTCAGCTGCCTCGCTTCAATGGCTTCTGTCGCAGGCACCAATGAGGAGACCCAAATCCTTCGAGGTGTGCGAGCTGCTGGAGGACCTCATCAGAAGCATGACCTGGTCATGCAAGAAGTCTTTGCAGGGTCGGGCAGGATCACAACCAAATGGAGCGAGACAGCCCCCGCGGAGGAGCCGATTGAGGTCTTTGAGGAGCCCCACAAGAAGAGAGGATACAGGCAGGACCATGACCTACTGTTGGAGGCCAACCGCAACAAGCTCCGCGAGAAAGCCCGGAAGGGGCCTGCAAATGTGTGGTGGCTGGCAGCTCCTTGTACCAGCTTTTGCGACTGGCAGCTGCAGAACCAAGGAAGCCGAACGTTTCAGGAGCCGGAAGGAGGAGGAGATGGACCGCAACAACAACGGGAACTGGACGGGAACAGTTTGTCAACCTTGACGGCTGAGATTTTTGAGGACTTGCTCGATGAAGGTGCTTTTCCTGTTTGTGAAAGCTCTGCGTCCTCGGGGCGATACCCGAAACAATGGGACCTTCCGGCTTGGAAGAAGGTTTTGACGCGGCCCGACGTGGAGTACATCGAGTTCCCAATGTGTGCGTTTGGCCTTGGGCCTCCGGACTTAGAAGGGCACTACTACGTCCACCGAACCCGACTGGTATTTCCCACTCACAGACCCCTGCGGGAAGCGCTCCGACGTGTGTGCCCAGGCATTGGCCCCAATCATCAACATGTGGGCTTGAAAGGTTGCCGTCCAGGACATGAGGTTACCAGATGCACTGAAGCTGGAGCTTATGCATGGGATTTTGTGTCTACAGTCGTGCAGGCGCTGCAAGCTACGTTGGGGGGGGGGGGCTGGTTTTGCAACCACAACTCCATCATGCCGGAGGTCAAGATGATGAGGAAGAGGGAAGTCACCAGGGAGAAGGACGAGATGTGGAAGAAGAGGAAGGGCACCCACAGCCACCGCATACGAGAAATCACGAGACTGAAAAAGAGGAGGATGCCCCGTCGTCTGGCTACGACCCAGAGGAGCCCATCGAGAACCCCAACGAGGCCGAAGGGAACGATAAGGAAAACGAAGGCTTGGGAAGGGACCAAGCTGAGGAGGGGAGCATGGCCTCAGAGCAAGGTGAGGAAGAGCACGAGGAGGATGACGTGGTTGTCTCTGTCCCAGTTCAGGAGGATGAGGTGATCGTCAACGTGTCGCCAGCCAACACTCAGGTGAGCTGGGACCCCGAGGATGTGGACGAGGACGAGAACCAGACCAAACGGAGACGACTTGAAGCCGACATTGACGCCAATTGGGAGTTGGCACGCCCGAAGGAGATTCCGGAGATGTCAGAAGGGGAATTGGATGAGTTCATGGAGCTGCTGACGGCGGTCACCCCTCCTGACAAAGCAGTACGAGCAGGAAGACCTGGAGGCTCTTCGGATTTCGAGCCTGACGATGAGAACTCGTTGGACGCATGGCATTATGACCCGAGGAAGGGAAGGCTCACGAGAATTCACAACGAGCTTCGAAGGAGGCTGTATGTTCCCGGAGATGCTGGACGCCCGGTATATCTCAGTAGCTTGAGGAGCTCCAGACGGACATACCTGAAGAATGAGAGGGGTGTCCGTGTCGTCATTGATGACCACTGGAGGGCAGCTGGAAAAATCGAGATTGGGTATGGTTGGTGGACAGGCAGAACGATCTTTACCGTCAAAGGTCATCGCACTGTCGGGGAGGAGGACCGCTTTGAGTACCGACCCACAGATGATGAGGAGGACCTGGGCGAACCATCAGAGGAAGAGAGCCCGAGGAGATCGAGCCCGAGGACCAAGATGACCCGGTCAAGATCCAAAGGAGGAGCAGGCACATCGGCCAACAGCGCAGGGCATGGCCGGTCAGCAGGATCCACAGAGGAAATTTACAAGGCACCGACCGAAGGGGCGTATGAGGCAGCGGAGAACTATGTCAAGTACGTTGAGGAGGAGTTCGGCAACACACCTCAACGGTGGATCGAGCTCGTGAACAAAGGCAATTATCTTTTGAGAGAAGCAGGCAGCGTCGAGAGGGCAGCGGAGAGTTTGTGGCAGGTGAGAGAACACCACGACCTGATGAATCTCAAGGGAGTTGAGTGCGAAGGATTGCGTGATCTACTTCATCCTGATCTGCTGGCCTACCTGAGGAGCGTGCGGCACTTTGGAATGGAAGCCAGATATGTTGGCCCGAGACAGCGGGTCAAGGCCAAGCTGCACCCCAATGCCAGACGCAACTTGGAGCAGGTCTACAAGCAGATATCGAAGGACGTCAAGAAGCACAGAGCACTGGTGGTTGACGGCAATCTTGAGGAGTTGGCGGGCACGGTATCATCTCCCTTCGAGACGGTGGACAAGCAGATGCCAGACCGGTCTATCTCCAGTGAGAAGAGACTGGTGCACGATCAAAGGACGGTGAACTGTGGGACGTCGAAGTTCTGGCATCCACCGGCTCTGCAGCCAGCCCACAGCCAGATCGCCCAGAGGATCTTGTGGATGAAGAGCAGATGCCCGGGAATCCCGATCCTCCTGGCGAAGAAAGACATCGCTGGTGCATTCAGGCTTCTATGGTTGAGACCAGCAGACGTGGGTTTGTTTGCTGGGGACATTCCGTGGCAGCCGGAGAAAACATTTGAGGAGACATACACGGGCCCGAGCCCATGCACGGGGGACATCACGATCCTCTATTTGGTGTCCAGCTTTGGCTTCAGTGGCTCGCCAGGAGAATGGAGCATGTGGGGCAGGGCAACTGAAGAGTTTCATCGGGCACATCGACCCCTACAGCCGAGGAGGGACTTGAGCACGGGCTTCGATGCGAAGGTCTTGGTGGACGACTGCATATTGGTGGAGCCCTGGGTTGGTCTTCGTCCTTGGGTGAGCGCGGAAGTTTTTGAGCAAGGGGTCGTGCAGTTGCTGGGTGACAAGGCGGTCAACCAGGAGAAGGACGAGATTGAGGGAGCCTACAAAACCGCACAGACGGTGTGGGGTGTCATCATGCAGACCGACACTGAGAAGGCTCTGTTGCCGGAGAAGAGGATCCAGAAGGGTGCAGAGTTGCTGACCGGAAGTGGGTTCGATCACGGCAGCAAGACGCTGACTTTGAAGCAGCTTCAGCAATTCAGAGGAATTATGACTGGATGGTCTGCTATCATCCAGGGCTTGGCCAACGAGCTCAAGGCGGCTGACAAGTTTCTAGCTGGCAAGGATGGAGGGGCTTGTATCAAGGTGAACTACAAAGGAGATGGCTCTCGAGAATGGGAGGAGAGAACCGCATGGGACGATCTGTGGGAACTCTTCGAAGTCTGTCGTTGGCTCAGTGCCAGATCAGAGAGATGGGATGACATCTTCACTACAAGCATGAGGGCCATGCTGACACCCTTGGATCGCCTGGTTTTGCCTGGGGAGTGGGATGCCGTGATCTTCGTGTCCTCTGATGCAACCCCCACGGTCATGGGAGCCATCGATTGGAAGAACAGAACCACGTTTCGGGAGACGGTGGAGAACATGCAACCCTGGGTCAGGCGAGCCCTCACCGATGAGGAGCAGGCAGAGGAGGAAGGGAGCTTGGTGATTCACCTCAGTGAGATGCTGTCATTTGTGGCATTTGCATGTGCTATGGGACCCAAGTGGCAGGGCAAGGTCATCATCTACGGGGGGGACAACACGGTGGTCCGGAATTGGCTCAAAGGACGCAACAGCAGGGTCAGAGGAGGACGTCTGTTGATCCGTGTCGTCAACTCGGTGGAGATGAGATGGGGCTGTCAGATATTGGCAGGATGGTGGCGCACCTTTCACAATGTGGATGCGGACTTTGTCACGCGCTGCAGTGAGGAGCAGTTCGAGCACTTCGCCAAGGAGAAGGGCTTGGAAATTGTCGATGTGAAGGCAGCGGTTTTCCAGGCGCTCGAGGACTCCGAGAAGTTCGGCCTCACGTTCATGCATCAGGCCGACGAGAGTGACAGGCAGTGGCTGTTACAATTGAAAGAGAGAAGGGTGAAGAGGCAGATTCAGAGCGACTTCGGCACCCCATGGGGTTGTGTGAAGGTCATCGAATGGACCCCTTTGGGCAGGCGAGTCAAGGACTTCATCGACGCCGCAGGAGCACTGGGAGCTCGGCTGGAGGATGAAGGGCATGATGGACCGAAGCTGGTATGTGCCACACTGGGACTGGATATGCAAGGCAAGCAGATGAGGAAGTTTCTGGCGGAGGTCAGCAGGTTGAACGCATGGGTTGGCCTTGCGGAGGGACCCAGAATGGTGGCATGGGAGCTGGGAGAGCAGCTGTGTGAGAAGAGAGGCTGGGCTGGAGGCGTCATTGAGTATGTGACGACGGAGCATGGTGAGGCAATGGCGAGGAGGAGGAAATGCTTGGTCGTCTTCCCCAAGGGCAAGCTGATTGAAGGTTGGGAAGGTTTTTTCGTGAGATCCTGCCATCCAGTGGCAATGCAGAGCGTCCTGAAGAGCAAGGAGTGGGACGACCGGGTCTGGCAGCAACCGGAGATGTTGATCCTGGAGAGTGGCATACCGAGGGAAAGGATGTTGCCTTGTCCGGTGGGCCATTATTACTGGGAAGAAGGAGGCGAGAGGTACACATGCCATGGCATGGGAGGTCCCGCCCTGTGGCCCAAGTGGTCGGAGGAGACGAAGAGCTTCGCCGACCTCTATGTGCACGACCGGAGGGGACCCCCTGGACATGTGAGGAAACTTGAGGCCGAAGAGATCTGGATGCTGCAGGGTAGACAGCGCCACGACTTCAAGAGCTTGGCACAGGAGATTGGAGAGTCCCGTGCGATTGAGGAGGGCAGTCGAGCCACTGGTGGCCAGACAGCTGCAAATCTGATCGTAGGCGCGGGAGCCCTCGTGGGCAAGATCATCGAACAGGAAGCATGCAAGGCAGGAGCCAGCCCCGATGATGTTGGAGCCGATGCACTAGCTCAGATCCTGATCTGGTTGAGACGATGGCGGAGAGGAGAGTTTGGGAATCCTGCAGAGGGCAGGAAAGCTGGAGGCAGCAGTGAGGAGATCATCGTCTACAGGTGGGTTGAGGCTTGGTGGATTGGAATGCTGGAGCCAGAGGAGCAGAGTGAGGAGAGCGATCGAAGAGCAGGCGGCAGACGAAAAACCACGCAGGAGGTGGCCGAGCACGTCGCCAAGAAGGTCGTGGAAGGCATTGGTCTCCAGGTGAGACCCTTCAGTGGAGAAGTCGGGGAACGAGTTGAGGAGTGGCTCGAGGAGAACATGACAGGCGACAAGAGCGTCGCCACGGAGAAGGCTTACGCAGGAGCTTGGGCCAAGTGGTGTGCATGGGCAAAGAGGCAAGGATGGCTATCAGAGTACCTCAGTAAGCATGAGGAGGCGGTCAACAGGGAGAACAAGCTGCTGGCCTACGTGGGGTACCTGGGATGGTTGGGCTGCTCTGTCAACACCATCCGTCAGGCAATCTTCGCCATCAAGACGGCACACAAGAGGATTGGTGAGGGTGACATCACAGAGGGCATGCACAGAATTTGGATTCTGCTGGGGGGCCTCGATCGACGCAACACCACCAGGAAGCCACGTCGGTTGGGAGTCACCCAAGAGATGATCATATGGTTGGGCAATCACCTTGTGGCGCCGCTGGAGGACCAGGTCCACAACCCGACATTTGCAGATGCGGCGACAATTTTTGCCGCAATCACAACGGCTTGGTTCTACATGCTCAGGGCGAAGGAGTATGCGGAGTCGAACGGAGTTGACATGGACATGATCGTCCGTGGCTGCGACATCCGACTGGCAAAGCAGGGCATTGCGGTGGAACATGGTGAGGAGGAGGTCCACCTGCAGTTCAGGAAGACGAAGACAGATCAGCTGGCTTTTGGGGACAACAAAACCTTGCAGGCCACAGGCGTTCCGTTTCTATGCCCTGTCGAAGCACTGGGGAGAATGAGGAGAACGTGGCCAGATAGGTTCCGCCAAGGACACCCAGAAAGTCTGCTCCCTCTCTTTCGCTGGGCATCTGGTGGGGTAGTCCGCCGGTTGGAGATCCAGCACCTGTTGCAACGTGCTGCGGTGGCGGTTGGCCTTCCTGGAGACAGGTTCTTGAGCCACTCATTGCGCATAGGAGGCGCAACGGCGCTCTATCAGGCGACCGCCGACATCGAGCTTGTCAAGAGGCTGGGACGCTGGTCATCGTCGGCTGTGCACAGATATTTGGCCGACGGTGGAGAAGTTTCGAAGGCATCCGAACGGATGGCAAAGGCCCGAGTCAACTATGGATGAGGAGCCTGAGAATTTGGTTTGGTTTGGGCCGGTCACGGCGACAGCCACGAATGTAAAGAGGAGGTGGCAGAAGTGACTGGCTGGGCATGCTAAGCACAAGGATGTGTGCAAAGCCGCCATGGAAAAAAGCAGGTGTGCGCAAGGATGACACACACTGGCACACGAAAGTTGGAGCTTAGTTGTAAGTGTTACTTTTGGGGACAGAGTGGGGAATGCTTGGCAGTTTTTCAGGGCCCAATTGCCATAGAACGGCCCACCCCCTAGGCCACCCTGGCCGGTCACGGCGACAGCCACGAATGTAAAGAGGAGGTGGCAGAAGTGACTGGCTGGGCATGCTAAGCACAAGGATGTGTGCAAAGCCGCCATGGAAAAAAGCAGGTGTGCGCAAGGATGACACACACTGGCACACGAAAGTATATATATATATACATGTATGTATGAAGGGGCATTTCTTTTGGGGGGAATTCTTGTTCTTCTTGGGAAAGACTTAAGGGGCACCTTCACCGCGCTGATGCACTCTAGGATGATAGACACATGGGAAATTGATCGCGGTCAGGTTAAGAACCTTTGGGTTGGGAACCTTCACGTTGGGGGAAAAACAGCCACACTTTTGTCGGAGGAAACCTTTCTAGGTAGGAATGGGTTTTCTAAATGCTGTTTGCTTTCAGGATTGCATTACTTATCTTGTTTGCGTTGACATGTCACATTTATCGTTTTCATCTTCAATGCACCATTTCATTAGTTTCAAACATCAAAGGGCTTTGGTTTTGCAACCGTTTTTTTAGAGGCAAGCTGAGTTGGCGTGTCTGTTCCTTTTTCATCATAGCAACCGCCATCACAATCATCACCATCACCATGGTGGTTGTCACTGCCATCATCGGCATGATTGATATACCTACAGTGACCTACAGTTTTCAAATTACATCAAGGTGATTTCTTCATCGTTGTCCTTGTTATTTGTGTCATCATTACATAATCTTTGTTTCCTCAAAACCCATGGGGGGCACTTACCATCACCACCATGATACCTGGGCCCCTGGGTTGGTCTTCAAGCCACTGACCAAAAAAGGCAGTGCTTACAGGACCAATATGGCATCCTAAAAATCGTTTTTGGCATGAAAACCATCGAACAATCCATGGACGTCATCAAAAAAATGATGAAAATCAACGGAAAAATATAAAATTCCCACAAGAAGTTTGCACCCCTAAAAGATAGATAAACACATTTCTTGTAAATATAATAAATGGAAGTCATTTACATTACATGATAAGTATTTGTACACATGTTTGATTTCCATGGATATATTTACATATACAATCATATACATACATTCGTGGATATATGTATATATTTGTGGACATATATTTATATGTTTATTGAGATATATATATATATATTTACATTTATGAAGTTTTTTTTCTACGTGCACATGTATATTTATATATATATATACATACAGTATATATATATATGCACAGATTTAAGTATACTTATATGGAGATATATTTAGTTTATATAAATATATATGGATATAAACACATTTGAGGGGTGTATATATATATATGGCTGAAAAACACGTAGAACATATATAGATAAATGTGTATATATATATATGTATGACACATATACATGTATGATATGTATACATGTGTATAATATATATATAGTTATATTTCTAGAAAAAATACATATTTTGTGACTTGGATGAGTGGGGCGCATAATCTTTGGAAGGGTAATTGGGCTCTCGGAACACGATGTCAGTGATGTGGTTTTTAGTGGAGAACGGCTTTGGGAGACCTTTGTACAGGATCCGTTGGCCCAAGGAGAAAGATCCTCGATACCCGCGAGGAGCTAGGCTTGCTGGGAAGTTCAGGGAGTTATGGACGTGGTCCAACCTGAAGGCTACCTTGCTGATTGTTTTCCCCAATTTTCCTATGAATTATGGTCTTGGAAAATAGTTTCCTTAGAGACTTGATGAGATTTGTATATTTTGGATCTGTGAAATTTCCAACCCAGTGAACTTTGGCAGGGGGCAGGGGCTGGACATGCCAGGAAGAAACCCCAAGACACCATGGAGAGCTACGGAAAGGACTGGCCCAAAATGTGTGGCCTTTTCTTTTGTTTCTTCAGCTGAATTTCTCTGTCATGAGTGATGGATGACATGGATTAATATTCATTGCAATATCCTGTGTGGATCCGTATCAGCCATCATTCCTGACATGGATCAGTACATATTACTGTATCAGGATATTCAGGCTGATAATTATTGATTTGGTTGACGTGTTGATGTATCGATTGATTGGTGAATTGAGTGCTCGGTGGCAGGGTTGATGTGCTGACGGACCGATTTGATGTGGGGATTGATTGAACGCACTCAAACAGTTCCATGTATTTTTGCTATCCAACGCGCAGGAGATGAAAGAGAGAGAGAGAGAATCATCTGTTGCCTTTCTTACGTCCTTGTTTTTTTCTTGTTTGTTCGATTTTTTCTTATTCTTTAAATTGCTGTCTGTCTTTCTCAACGATTTCTGTCTTTCTTTCTTGATTTCTTTCTTTACGCATTTTTTCAATCATGATCCGGCAATGACCAGAGCCGAACGTAACACCGTCGCAAACATGTCTGAACAACTTTCCCAGCGCACTTACGACACGTTCACCAAACGCCCAAAACACAGCGGTGCGAGCATGCCCTAGCCACTTTGCCGCACCTGTACCATCACCCTTTCCGCAACCATTACACAGCAATTGTGCACACACAAATACTGTGTCACATCTACTGTTCTCATTTGTTTTTCCTGTGCTCTATTGTTGTCTCTACTGTTCTCTACTTTTCTCCACTCACCCTGCTCTCTACTTTGCTCTACTGTTTGCTTTGCTGGAGGCACGTTCCGTCCAGTGTGACGGAATCAGCTGTGATTGTTGAAGGGGCCCAAGCCTACCGCCAAGGATGTAATTATGACACTGATGGCAAGATTGTTTCAGCATATGGGGCGGGGTCAATTGAAAGAAACCAAGCAATTCTTTTGGCCTATCCCATGTTTATCCGTTTTCGGGGTGCCAAATCATCTCCGGATGAAATATTTAACGCTTTGGTTCAGAGGAAAACATGGAGGAAAAGCCCCGGTTTGACCAGCTAAAGACAGCCGTTCTTGAACTTGTTTTCCCTTTAACCAACGGAAATATAGACCCTCCCGTGCTTGTCAGGATGACAAGATCGGCGAGCCGCGAGTAGATCCTCAGCCGATCCAGATATCATGGGTTCCAAACATGGGGGAGTCCTTGCCTGCAGCATGGAATCAACGGCACTCAAGGATGTTCCATGCTAACTTTACCAGAATTGGGTGCTATAAACCATCCACAACTGGAACTTTATGATGGCTGACAAGACGTGCCACATTGGGGACCGATTAGATGTTGGCACTTGTTCGCCGCGGCCAATAGCTTGGAGTTTTTTTGCCAACAAGAGATTTGAAGCAGCCCGTAAAATGAGAGATCAATGGATATCAAACAAACATGAATCAACGGACAAACTTGCGGACAAACTTGCGGTGCTTTAAGCAACAAACCATTAGGGCATCCAAAAAATCAAACAATCAACCAGTAAGAACCCGCATTTAATCAACTGATAAATCAACCAGTCAACTGATCAACTGATGAAACCCAAGAAAAGGGCTATCCTCTGGTGATTTAACATAGCTATTGAAAATCACAATTTTGATATTATAGTTTGATCAATAGGTCAATCATCTATTTCTATAGGCGATCTATACCATAGCTATCTTGGTTTACTGGACGGCAACACTCAGCCAAGGATGCGGCCCGCTTTGCCCTCTCTAGCAGCTTCCGGGACCCTGTGATGATGGAGGACCCGGACGGTGCCAAGAAGAACATGATGAGAAAACATGGGATGTTGGATGTTCCTTAGGGATGTTCCCTAATTATTAATGGATTGTTGTCAGTATTATTACCCTCTGGTAATTTAACATAGCTATTGAAAATCACCATTTTTAATGGGAAAATCCACTATTAATGGCCATTTTCAATAGCTACGTTAAATTACCAGAGGGTATCATTACCATCTGGTTATTTACCATAGCCATGGAACATGGCCCATTTATAGATGGTTTACCTATTAAAAATGGTGATTTTCCATGGCTATGTTAAATAACCAGATGGTATCATTATCATTGTTGCAACTCAATAATATGGTGACGATGGCGGGAAGTGGTGCACTGAACCAGATTGGGATGGATTGACTCCAAAGTTTTTCAAAGGTGAAACGCCTAGGTGAACATGCAAGCATCCCATTGATCCATTCTGGTAACACGACTTGGATGTCTACCAGCCCCAAAAAAGATAGAACAACTTTTCCAGGATGGTATAGGTTATGTTTTCCACATTTTCCAGGTTCCAAATGTTTCTATTTTTTGGGGGGGCTGCTATAGATGTGTTTAAATCTGTAGCCACATTACCAACTATTACAATGATTGTAGCAATAGCATGTGGAATTGTAACCACCTTTAAAATCCTTTAAAGGGTTCCAACCCCTTTCGTTGCTGCAATCCCAACGGGTTCACATGTGACCAGTGGACCCCTGCTGGATGATGATGAAGTGTTAGGGGTTAATCGACCCAACAAGAATTGGGGTAACTATTGGCTATTCATAGTGGATAATAACAATAATAATAAATCATAATACATATATTTAAAATAATAATAATAACAATAAAAATAATAATAATAGGACTGTCAATTCAAAGTTGATAATAGTTGGGGTTTCTCCTCATCCACCGTGACTACTGCAACTGAAGTTCCCGAAGTTCCCGGCAGGACATCCGCGTCCTCTTTGATACCCACCGAGACCGCGCCATCATGGAGAGACTCTTCACGCCCACGGCAATCATGCAGGCTCCAAAGCTGGTTGAACAAAGGAAGATACCCTCTGGTAAACTAACATAACTATGGGAAATCACAATTTTTAATGGGAAAAATCACTATAAATGGCCATTTTCAATAGCTACGTTAGTTTACCAGAGGGTATGGCCTCTCCAAGATCGAAACCCAACCCTATGCCCTACTAGTATGCTTATCATCATTTTCCATTAATTAAGAACTTGCCACACATGTGAGTCTCCCCTATTTTGAGATAACCCCATCTGGAAAAGGCAACGAAAATGTCGAGACCTTTTTGATGGTTAGAGAATTGACATCACTGGGAAAAGACAAGCTTCCCCATTTTTGTTCATCTGAGGTTTCTGACATGGTATATGGATGATCCAATGGCATATATATGGCATATATATGGACTATGGTGGAATGACGTGGTGGTTGATTCTTTATATATACCTCTTTTTCGTGGGGAAAAAATTAACGGCACCGGCCAAGATCCCACCATATTGGGAAGGTCATTTTTTCCCAACTGTTACGAACTCAGAAGTCCATGATTTTTCAGAGGGCTAGGGCGAAAAACCACCCACCAGCTATGTCAGCTATGTACTTGGGATGATGAAACTATTTCTCCCAAAAGATGCAGGTCTTATTTGTGATTAATTGTGATTAATAAGCGAGTCTTGCCTTTGAGAAATCACCATTGAAAATGCCAATCTTACGCAGCCTCCTCCATCAGTGGCCGAAGGGAAAGATGGGACCCGGTGGTTGTTGGCTTCTGAGGATTTGCTGCAAGACATCGGGTGATCAGCCACACAAAATAGGATGTTTCGAAGAAGAACATATCATCATCATCACCACCACCACCACCAGCATCATCATCATCATCATCATCATCATCATCATCATCATCATCAATGAACCCTGCCCAGTTCCGAAAAGTTCAGGCAGTGAAGGATCAACGTGGACTGGAATGCCAGCGTGGAAGAAGGAGTTGCTGGGGGTCACCGATGAAGTGCAGGAAGAGGAGTCGCTCCAGTTAGCTGCGGTTTGCTGGTAGTCACCCCACAGTAGCTGGATTTGTGGATACTATACTGGATGGTTAATTATCCAATGTAAAACAGTTACCCAGATTCTTCTAGGGAAAAGGGATAATCATTTCATGAAAGCGTGGTCGTTCCCCTAAATATTGGATAAGATTGGGCTAAGTTCCAACCCGCATGTTGCTGATTTTCCCAGTTTTTGCTTGTTCAACTCCACCTTTTTTCCTGGGACAAACCCAAATGAGGCTGTTTAGATGCTCTTTCTGGGGAAGAATGGAAGGAGTTTTGGACCAAAAGATGGGAAGCTACAAAAGAATTGGGGAATCGAGACCACAAACGATGATAGAGAATTTCATAGTAAGCGAATGTTTGTTCTATCTATACGTTTAGATGAACCACTATGCTTCCATTGGCTGCTCTTAGCCAAACATATCCAACAACCAGGGATTTGTTCAAGGACAGGCGAGCAGTTTCAAAACATCCTGTTTAGTAGGTAGATGATTGTAGGGAGTTCTAGTACCCAGAAAGTTAGGGACTATCACTATCATAGTTCATGAACTGGGAATCCCCATTAAGCAACCATTGCAAGTGATTTTCCAATAGGTTTTGACACCGCTCAGTTGGCTTTCCTTCATGTCGAAAAGCTGGCCACAAGCATCAGATACTTGATTGGGTCTGACCCTCGCCTTTTCTGTTTATTTCAAGGTGGTTCCATGTATTAGTCTTGGACAACTCAAAGCGCTCATTTTTTTTGGACAATATTTTGGGGAAGCCATGAATTTCATGGCACAAACCCGATTTTTTGGATTTGCAATCAGTGACAGGACACACAACATTTTGAACACATCTTTTTTGTGTTACTACAAATGGCTGCACGTTATCTTTTGGTTTGATTGCCCCCATTGGGTTTGTCTAAGACCACCCGCGTTTGACGATTGATCATCATCATCGGCCTCCAAAAATCACCGCAATCTTCCCACGCCATAGGAGATCTTGGGGGAGGACCGGATCTGTGACAGGATGGTGCTACCCAATGGAAAAAAGAAACGATGTTGAGACGTGGATGTTTCTTTCCCACAGACATGCACAATATATGACAACTGGTTGGTGGTTTGGAACATTTTTTATTTTTCCATATACTGGGAATAATCATCCCAACTGACCATTAGTTTTCGGAGGGGTTGAACCACCAACCAGATGACAATACCTTTTTTTTTCTCCAGGTTTTTTTGGAGCATCTCAGGAGGGTCTGTCCCTGGACATGCAGATCAAAGTGCGCTCCGAAACAACGGAAGTGCCTAGAGATTTGGACTCCCAGGAGGACCGGGGCCGGGGGAAACTGGGGTCACGATGCAAACTGACTCGACTGGTTTGAATTCTCATTTTTCCTTGGTGAAATTTCCATGTGTCCCAGATTTTGGTGATTTCTGTCAGTCCCTTTTCTGTTCTCTGATCTAACATTTTCTCGGTTAAACTCAAGTGGTAAACCTTCCCCATCCTTCCCCAAGACTGCCATAAATAGGTAGTAAATATCATCTTATCATCTCCACATGGCAACATGGAGGAGGCGTCCGCTACGTCACCGGAGCCAGAAGAAGCTGTGACTTGGAGCTTGAATAGCTTGAGATCCTGGGATTTTTAGGGGCAGAATTGGATAATGTTTGTTCGTTGCTAGGGGATGTTTGTTGTGTCAACCATCTGGTCGTCTTTGATCCTGACCAAAAACTTGACCCAAAATGGGGATGGGACCAGATTTTTCACACGCCCAACTGGGTTTATGCACATGTCTGAAGAAAACCATTCTGCTCACATCTCCATATGATCATATATAGAAAACCAAGTTGGGCAGTTTCCCTACATTTTGGGGTAGCTGCGGTAGCGGGTTGTTCTTAGAGGAACGGAATTGAAGACAGTTAATTGAACATCATCACAGCAATAGTACTGTAGGGCGAATGAGAATGTTACTTGTAGTTTTCCCTTTTTCAGATGATTTACCTATTGCAAATGGTTGCCTTCCAAAGCCATGTCAGAGTACCAGAGGGTAATATGGGTACCCTCTGGTTATGTCAAAATAGCTATTGAATATGGCCATTTATAGTGAGTTTTCCCATTAAAAATGGTGATTTTACATAGTTATGTTAGTTTACCAGAGGGTAATAGGAGCAGGTTTTCCATCCTCCTCATCCTCATCCCTCCACAGATCACCCCATCGACACCCCATCGAGGCCCATAGCATGGCCATATCGGTGTCGCAACTCGTCTGTTGTTTCAATCGCTGGCTGTGAATTGTCCGGGGCAAAATCAAAGGCCCATAGCATGGGGCAGCCAAGTGACCAGAACTTTCGATAAAGTGGGACAGTTTTGCTGAACCATCCAACTTGATGTTCTTTTGAGGTATACTCAGCTTGAGAAGAGAAAAGAGATGGAGACATACCTCCATTCATGGAGATATCAGCGGAGATAAGACTCACAATTGTTTATCCTCCAGAAATCAAAGCTGGAGGACATCCCCACATGTCGGCTTTGGGCTTTGCGGCTAAACATGGTGAAAAACCATCCAGCTGCGGTGAACTTCATGGGAGGGTCCCGAGCATTGAGGCCCCAGGGGAGCCAAGCATTGAAGCCCTGCAGAGCGCTGAGAGACTGGGAGGAGAAACGGGTGAGATTTGGGTGGAGATGACTTGGAGATGATGTCGAAAACCATAGAAAACCCATAGGTTTGCTGAACCTCACAGGCAGACATGGCCTGCTGCATTGGGCCTATGATTTTCTTGGTGTTTTCCAGGTCAGGTCAGCATGACCCAAGAGTATACCCACAACTCCATGGCCCAATTTGGTCAGATCCAAGCCTGGCTCTTGAAATGGTTGAGATCGCAAAATTGGATGCTCCAAAGTCCCTAGAGCTGACAACCACAATTCTGATGGTTGACCTTGAACAGATTCTTCTCTCCCGTCGTGTTGTTCCTTCAGGATCAAAAGGAATTGGTCGAGGACTTGCGAGAACGGATGAGATTTCAAGAGGACCCGAGCCGCGAAAAATCCGGGAAGAGTTTATCAAAGCTTACAGGGGTTTCCATCAAACATTGGGGAGATCAATCAGCGAAAGTTGAGATTGATTTTAACAGCAAAAATAAAGATGTTTAGCAAGAAATGTGTGGATTTGACCAACATATTTTTAGCAGCAAAACATAGCAAAACTCGAATGTGGATATCAAACTACCAAAAATGGGCTGCAAACCGACCAACTTTTTGCTTAGAATCCATGAACAAGTGCAGACGATGCAGATGACTGGCCATTTTCCGGTTCGCAGAAATGTCTCGGGCAGGCCCACTGCTAAGGCAATGGTGACTAGTCGCACATTCCTCATTTTATCCCTAAGTCACTGAGGGTGGTGAAGAATATTACATACCATATATATATATATATATACTGTATATATATATATGTATGATAGACCTTTAGGTACTATTTTGTTCCGTTTTTACTTCCTCATATCCTCCTTCATATTTCACTCTGGAGGCCTTTTTATTTCAAAACAATTAAAACCAATTAAAAAAAAAGCATTTTCAGTGAATTGTTCTTAATGTTTTTAAATATTTGTGTTTTTTGGGAGAGTTTGTCCGAATCTGGAGTCCTTTTCAGGGAATTGTTTTTAATGTTTTTAAATATTTAAAACCATTAAAAAACAATTAAAAACAAAGGGTCCTTTTCAGGGAATTGTTTTTAATGTTTTTAAATATTTAAAAACATTAAAAACAATTAAAAACAAAGGGTCCTTTTCAGGGAATTGTTTTTAATGTTTTTAAATACGTGTACCTTTTGGGATTGTTTGTCCAAATCTCGAGGCCTTTTTGCTTTAATGTTTTTAATGTTTTTAATGTTTTTAATGTTTTTAAATATTTAAAAACATTAAAAACAATTAAAAGCAAAGGGTCCTTTTCAGGGAATTGTTTTTAATGTTTTTAAATATTTAAAAACATTAAAAACAATTAAAAACAAAGGGTCCTTTTCAGGGAATGCCGCACAGGTGCTGTCGTTGGCATGGTCCCCATCTCGCATGAAGATGCCAACAGAGTCGCTGCAACATTCACCAGCCACCTCTCACCCATCGCTCTGGCTCAGGTGAAGTTTGTTGCAAGCGACAGTCCATCTTTGAAACTGTTCCGGAAGATCAAAGCCGTTTGCAGGCATCTCCAATGCATTTCATTGGATCCAGTGCACCTGGCCATCGTGTACGAATACGCCCAGTGGGGCAAGAAATCTGCGGGCTCCAGGGTGCTCAGGCATCTTCTGAAAAAATGCGGTCAGCAAGACCTGTCCAAAAGCATGGATTCTTGGGGCCCATTTTTTTCCGGCTTGAGGCCCGCAGCCCTGAGCAGAGAAGAAGAGCAGGCCCGACAAAAAATTTTGGACGGTAGCATGAGTCAAGCCAGGGCCAAACGCATCCTAGAGGCATTAGATGCAAATACACCACTCCTTTCCCGAATCACATTCGTGGAAACGCTCGCAGCCATCTGCACTTGTTTCCCTAATGAAGTGAGCCGAAGAGTCACCGGTACCAACAAAGAAGTCCGGAAAATTCTGTGTGCAGCGGCAGCACCGGATCGTATGGAATGGTTGTTCAACAACCTGCGAGTCCGGCATGCCATGACTCCGGCCCAGAGAGCTTTGTTACCAAGCGGAACCTCTTCGAATGAAGCACTACATGCTGAAATTAATGCGTGGTCAAGGACAAATCATGCGCTGCATCAAAGCACTCTGCGATTGAAACTTCAAATCATGCAATTCGGCAAGCTGGTGGCACATCACGCTGCCACCTGCTTCCCTACAATCAAGCAGTGCAGCGAATCAGTGCTGCTGGCGCGGTGCTTGGCTTCGGAGGATTGGCCGGATGAGAGGTGGAAAGCATGCTGCAAAGGCACTGAGAAGGCACATCTTCCTTTGCACAAGGACAGAGTGCAGGAGGCGGCGCAGGTCCGGCAGTGGAATGCTGCCAATGTGATGAAGGTACGGAAACACCATGTCAAAAAACGCACGGTTCACACTGTGAGGCGGCACCGCTCGATTCGTTCAGCTGGTGTTAAGATTGCACCAAAGCGAAATCCAATGCGAGCATAGCATGTCACAGTATCAGCTATGGGAAAGGAAACGCAAGTCAAACCCAAACCGTTCAGAACTTGCACTTTGACTGCAGCTGCACCAACATTAAAAACGGAGTATACAGAAGATGATAAGTACTGATGATACTGTGTCGCTGCAAGCTCATCTGGCCAAGTATTGTGAACCTTCCGCTTCGGTAGAAAAAGAATACGTTTGCTTGGCTGCTTGCGTACGAAGTGATTGCGAAATTTGTGTCGGCAGTTTGAATGGACGGGTGATGACATGTAACTTCAGAGTTTGTCGGATTGCACATGTCAAGATGCCAGCTTAGTTTGATCATGTGAGCCAGGCCGCTGAAGCTTCTCTAACATTCTTCGCAAGCTGCAGAGGCCACAGTGCATTTGAAAGGTTTTGGGCGTTTCAAAACCCCATTAACGTATGCTTTAATGTGCTAGCTGTGCCCCCAGTTGGTGGAACAGCTGGGTAACTAGTGGGCGCATCTTTGAGTTGCTTGGACTGGTGTCCTGAAACTTTGGCAAATAACTTTAATCTGCAGATTGATGGTGTTGTCTGCCGTGAAAGCTATTCAGTCCCCCCGTACTCTCCCCTTGCACACTCTTGCTAGATGCGTTTTCAATCAAACCTGCAACCAGCATCGTCTGGGATACTTCGATCCAGCTGGTTTTGCTGTGTGTGTGTGTGCACCCTTCTTGCACAGGGCCTGGTTTTTGATTCCGGCGTGACGGCTTTTCAAACATGAAGGGTGGGCAGAGGGGATTTGAAAATCTCTGCCCAACGAAGCTCTTTGCAAGCATCCCATGACGGCACGGATAGATCACCCATGTGTACCTGTGCCAAACCAGTTTGAACTGTTGATTTCCGTTCCTGTTCAATGCTGTGCCGTCTTTCCATTCACACAGTTTCGAATTCTGTTGATCGGATACTTTTTTGACCTCAACTCGGACTTCTAGGGGCACCCACTTTCGATCACCAGCTTCAACTTTCAAAACCAGTCCAGTGTGTGCACAGGCGCTGTCTAAACAATTTGCCTGGGAAGCGCTGTGTTTCCGCGGGCTGTGAGAAGATGAGAAGCTTCAGAAGTTAGCAGCCCCACCCGCTCCTTCCCACCAAGCAGATTTATTCATCATCGAGAAGTTATTTCGCAACCAAAGAGATTTATTTTTCAGAATTGCACCTATATATCTATTTGATCTAGGAGGCGATATTATAACTGTTGGGGCTAGGAACGAAATAAACCCAAAAGGTCCTCTCCACATATATATATATATAGCTTGTGACGGTTGGGTCATCCGCTGTGCACAGCATGACAGTGCAGCAACGGAGAGTAATGATGTTCAGGTCGACTTGGCCTGGCCAAGTCGCATGTCCCCTCTGGAAAAAGAAGTGAAAGTTTTTCTGCAGAGCATCTTGAGTCGGCCTGAGCAACATACCTAAGGTTGGTGTCTGAAAAAGAGCATCCAATCTTTGTAACGTCCAGGCAGTTGAACCATCCATCTGAAAAGGAAACATGAAAGAAGGATCACCCAACAACACAAAAACAATTTCCAAATCACTGACGCGAATTGGACAGTTCCCTGCCTGCTCAGCAGCACACAGCCACTGTAAAAGTGATTCTACGAATTTTCCTGGTGTCTTACCGGTGGATTGTCTGCATCTCACATTCCAGTTCGAAGGGAGAAGATCCTCAAGAAGCCCCTCATCCATGGTACCTTCATCACTTGAGTCCACATCAATGCAAAGAAGAGATCAGGGCTGTTCCGCACATGCCAGCTCTGAGCTTTTGCTCTGTTTGCTACGCTCTATCCACCAGTTCAGAGTCCGGTCAAGCGCCGCATGCTGTTCCAGAAAACCTAGAGGCCTGTTGATGTTCCACTTGGAAACAAGCTCGTCAACTATGTTGTTCCACTTAAACACCCAAGACTCAAACGGGTCGCCCGCTTGACTGTCATTGACATGTGATGGAATCCAGCGAAACTCAGTGCTGCAACCTTCTCGTAGTTGGAGCGCTTCATGAAACTGCAGCCAAAGGTCATAGTTCTCCACATGGGAAGGAATCACACCATCGTTTTGAATGTACTCCGCAATGTTGATGTTTGACAGGGAGTCACTCCAAGCGCATAGGTCCGCCCCAGTGGTCCAGAGCATGGTGGAGACCAACGCTGTCAGCTCCGCACGGTCGATGGTCTGGGTCACTCCAGGAAGGTGTCCAAGTGCCACCACATCGCCCGTAGTAGCGCTCACAATGCCCCATGACGCCAGGCGGCACTGATGTGCAGGTTGAGTGCATGCCCCATCCATAAACAAGTGGTGTTTATCCTTTGCTTTGGGGTAAAACAAAAAAACCTTAGAAGAGTCCTGGATCTGCTGCAAAGTCTTTCTCCATGAGACTACGGCAGGCAATCTGGGAATCATCAAATGATGCACCACGCAAGAAGGAAGCTCAATGTTGTCAGGGTGCCAGCCCACGATCGCCTCGCGAAGGTGTTTGAACCGCGGACAGCAAAGCCAGTGAGCACGGTCATCCTCACATTGGCACAGATTGCATAAAGATTGCTTCGAGGCATCATATCTAGCATGTTCACTAGCACTGATAAACGCCCCAGATTGTAGCGCAGAAAGAAGCGCCCTCTCCAGCGAGCCAAGCTTTTTGGAATGGAATGTGGTGAGGTAGTAATCCATTCCATCCAAATCACGCATGGTTTTGTGGTTCGTAGAGGCTGCAATGTACTGGCACCAAGCGTCGCTTAAGAGCAAATCCAAAGTCTTGTCATCTACCGTCAAGAGGTTCCAGGTGTTTTGCTCATGGTCATAGATAAAGGGCGGGGTATCCAAACCCCATCCAATCTGCGCAAGGCACACTGCCACTTTTGTGAAGGGTCCAGGAAGCAATTTCCCTTGAAACTGTTGAGACCACACCTGCCAGGGCGGTAAAAGATACGTGTGTATATATATAATCCTTTTACTTTCAAGCTATGAACAGTCAAAAAGCAACGCAACGCATCCCACGGCATCCCACGCATCCAGCATTTTCCCATGGCCCCCTTTGGGAACGAAAAAGCCACGCCCAAGCCTTCAGGTTTTGGGAAAAACACCAATTAGAGTGAACATTTGGAACATTTTCCCATGCCATCTTTGATCAGAAGAATTTTTCCTGCAGATATTTTTCTCGGTGTGCTACCCAGCACCGGAACTTTGGATTCCACTGGAGTTCATCGCCCTTTTTGTCACGAGTCCATCAGCCATCATCTCCATTGATTCCCAATGAAAAGCCATATGGAATGGTTATGGGATGGCTATAGGATGGATACTGTTCAATGCCTAGGCGATCGCCATGTCATTCTTACTATAATCAGCCATTGTAACAATTAACCAGTATTATTAGCCATTATTCTTGTTAGCCAGTAACATTGGTTCATGCTCCCCAAACATATGAAGGATAGTTAATGTCAATAATCCCACTATATACTAGCTTATATACTGTGTTTGTTTCTGTATATTAAAGTGAATGATGTGAATGACGTTATTAGTATTACTGGTTGGTGGTTTCAAACATTTTTTATTTTCCATGTATGTGATGTCATCCTTCCCATTGACGAACTCATACTTTTCAAGATCGTTTGTTATTGCACCACCAACCAGATTAGTTTAATGATGTTTAATGATGGTTCATATCAACCACATGATTAACCATCTATGTTTAATAGATGGTTATTGCACCACCAGCCAGCATTTGTTGGTATATCAACATCCCAATTTTCCTCTGGCAATGACTAACATAGCTATTTTTTCCCATTGAAATAGTGGATTTAGCCATTGAAAATGGTGGATCTTTCCATAGTTCATGATGGTTGGCAAAGATTTCTTCCTGGCTAACTCGCTACCAGGAGTCCCAGGTCCGGAAGACGGGGGAATGGGAAAACCAGCTGCTAAAACTGGAGATTCCAGCTGAAGATTGGATGAAACATCAAGAAAACATGGGTCAACCTGGGTGCATCCATAGGAAAGACTTCGGGAGTGGCATTTTATGGATATAATATATATATAAATATAATATATATATATAAATATAATATATATATATATATAAATATAATATATATATATAAATAATATATATATATATATATATATATAAATATAATATATATATGGGTTCTTTAACCCCATCATACTATATGTGTGGCGGACGAACATGCGTGATTCCCAGCTATTTTACTGTATTTTGATGTAAACAAAAAAGGTACTTCTGGGGCGAACTGGCCCATAGAAACTTGTTTTGCATTACCTGGTGATGTCACCACTTCAATGCTTCAAGAAAAGTAACACTGCCTGTTTGGAGAAAACATATTTGAGGGATTTTGAGGGCTGGTGATGTCACCACTTGATGTTGCCTTCCTTGAAGGCGAGGAGGCTCCAAACCCTTGAGACTCGAAACCGGGACAGCATTGTGTGGGTAGGTCAACTGTCGGGCAAGCTATGGAAAGTCACCCTTTTTCATAGGTATATAATTCACCTGTAAAATTATAAAAGGGTTATTTTCCATATTTCTGTCGTAGGGTAGCATCTCATCCACTCGGAAATTCGGAGGCATTGGACACCAATTCGGAGGGACCTGGTTGGTAGTCCCTGTGCGTGCCAAGACAACGACTCCTTGAGAGCAGAGAACGAGGAGTTGAAACGAGAGATGGCAGACTTAAGGCGGAAGCAGGCGGGGATACCAGGGCTGTGATAGCTGGTCGCCATGGGTTTCCCAGCTGCCATCTATCAGCCATTTTCAGCAGCGCTTTCCCTACGAAATCAGATAGAAAAAATGGCCAAATGCTGCCGTTTTTGGCCAGGGACCCTGGCCAGGGACCTTTCAAAGCGCATCGATGTCGCTGTTTTTATCGTTGAAACTCATTTGACTAGTGACATCAAGAACTGATCAATCGAGATGTTCTGTTTGGAATTGGTTGACTGGTCTAATCCCTTGATCCAAGCATCGAATACCCCCTAGAACCCCTGGATCATATTGGATCTATTTGTCTAGGTCCCATGTGGGACGTATTCAAGACTAGGGGGCAAGGATTATATATTTATGGAGATACTTTGTGATAAGAACCATCATGTCATTAGCTAAATTTAGCAAAGGATTATTTATCCACCATTTTGACCTAAAATTTAGATACCAAGATGCCAAGATGGACAATTAGAATTTAGAATACCAAGGATTTATATCCACTATATCAGGATTATGTACTATTTGGGGCATCCCATGTTGTGGCAAAACATCATGATCAATCCATCATTTTTAGCCTGTGAGCTGCGGCGCAGGCGGAGCTCACAAGCCGCTGTGACCGGCAGTTGGCGTCCATGCAGGAGGGGACCCAAACGGGTTCAGATTTTGGGCACCTGAAATCTGGGTGACACACATTTCTTTCAGGGGAAAAAAGGATGTTATAGGAGCCCCCAAAAAAGATAGAACTGTAATTCATCACGTTCAGTAGGATTGTAATTTTCTATTTTTTGGGGGGCTAGTGAGTTGTCCCGTTTGTCTTTTTTGGGGGTCAATTTGAAAGTTAGGTGTTTGGAGTTGAAGCTGAAGTACCCTCGGCGAAAAATCACACACGGAAATGGAAGAAATAGTTGATTTGTTGATGGTCTTCCCACTAATTTTACCTGAAGAATTCTTCCTACTTTCCGTTGATTGAAAAAAAGTGGGAGAGCCAAGCAGCGAGCGATGGATGAATCCCTACCAAAGGCATCCAGGGGACAAAAACCAGGGGCACTTGGGGCTGTAGGAACTCACCCGTGCCCTTCGCACCTTCAACGCGTCACTCGGCCATGGGATCTCCCAGAAATGGTCGAATTGGGTACTGTAAATGGGTCATTGAATCCTATTGGTTTCAGCGTGAAATGTTTTATTTTTATGGTTACCCTCTGGTATGTACTCCGAAATGGAACCTCGATGGACCGATGGATATTCACCTGCAAGTGCAATTAGATGATTTCGAATTGCCCTCTCAGAGTAGCATACTGTATAAAGCGTGCATCATAATCGTGCAGTTCCAAAATATCTTGACTACACGGAGACTCAGAGTTTCCCAAATGCTTTCTCCATGCTTTCTCCATGTCTTGCTAAAATTGTTTCTCTTCAACTTGCTACCGCAACCATCTACGGTCTTATCTAATTTGTTGCTTCACCATTTAAAGCTTCGGTTGACCTTTCAAAACTCTGGAGTGGTTTCCCAGAACAAATATGGTCACTCGGCGCCAACGACAAGGCTGGTGTGACCCGTGGCTCGCTACCGTGGCAATTTTTAGAGGCTCCCCTTAAACAAGATAGCCAAGAGGTTCCCATATGGCCATCGATCAATACCTACAACATCCATCATCCTATAAATAGCATTTTGGGAGGGTTATTCGCATCCACAAATCCCAGTTCTCAAGGGGGGTCCCTGATGTTCCATGGGTTGTGCCCCCCATATTTTCTGATGGGGTTCCCGGGTTCCCATGGCGCCATGTTTGACAACCGAGGCATGCTGGGCAGGACACGGACAATTTTCCTTGATGGGGCAGAGAAGGATTTTTTCAGCAGCCAATTGATGGGAGTGTCATCTTCAAAAATGGTGGTTTAACAATTAAACCAAGGGATTTCATCGTCAGATTTCACAGGTTTTGTTCATGGTTTTGACCATCTTTAGCCCCCAAAAAAAGTGGAAAAAACAGGTTGTGCAAAGATCAACCATTAGATTGTGCAAAGATCAACCATTAGATTGTGCAAAGATCTCCACCCTATCAGAGACAATTTAATTTTGTAGCAATTTTATGCAATTTTGATCCACGACATCGACATCTGGGATCCTGGAGATTTGGCCAGGATCTAATCGCTGAGAATCAGATGCCCAGCAGTTGCTTCACTGCAACTTGGTCGCCCCCTGCTGAGCTGTGAAAAATTGCTGGTGAATGGCGCCAGCCTGAAAAACCATTGGGGTTGGAAGAAACATGCCAGGAAATTGGGGAATTTCAGGATGTTTTTTTTTTTTCGAGTTTTCCTGATCTGTTTTTGTTGCAATCAGTAGTCAGTAGTCTTTGTAATATCATGTATCCATGATCCAGGGCTACTCTAGGCCAACATTTCGCTTGGTGTCTCCTGTGGTACGCGGTCACCAGTGGTTGATCTTGGGGTGTCATGCCTGGGGTACCTCCCACCAGCACCTGAGGCAGCAACATCGTTTCAGCGGCCCTGAGCCGTTCTAAGATTCCACGTCCCTCACGAAGATGAAATCGGGACGTTTTTCTGGGCATCAAAGTTCATGTCCTCACGCGTCGTGACGCCGTTCTTTTTGGCGCGGCGAAAACAGTTCTGGGCCTTTGCTGCGAGGTGTCGTTAGCGATGAAATCCACCAAGATTCTGAAGCTGCAGCATTTGGCACAGGTAGCATCGATGAAAGCTGCCTGGAATGGGGGCATAGCATGATGTAGCCAGCAACAAATACAATATGACATCACTACAGTGGACCAAACAATAGGTCTGTCTCAACAAACATCCACCACTAGGAAATCATCCATAAATTTGCAACACACATCAAGAAACTTCAAAGAAAAACAAAAAAATGAAATTCCACGAAATTCGAATCCAGATCAGGAAAATCAAACCACATCAACTTCAAAAACATCTGCGTTTCCCCCCTCCCCAAGGTGTCCATCTGGTGCCATGCCAACCTTTGCGCAAGCCGTGGCGTCGGCACAGGCCAAGGCCCCCTTGATGCGGGCCACGTCTATGGAGGAGGCGGCAGAAGACGTGGAGATGACGTCGTTCAGCTCAGGGCTGGTTGATGCAGGAGACGGCACTTTTGCACCGACCGGAAAGGAGGGCCTAGTCCTATGGTTCCGCAGATTTCTACCATATCTATTTGATGAACTAGATCAGAGATGTATAGAGATGTAGGGATTGAACATGATTAATGGTCGACTTTCCATGGCCGTGATTGCTCAAACCGGAGTTTTTTTTTCACAGATATTCACACTTTGCAGATCATTTGTAGTATCTTTGTTCATAACCTTCCAGTCGCTTTCTCGATGTTGACGGGTATACAGGTGTACACGGTGTACACTTTCATCATGTAACAGATCTTCCCATCCACTTCACTTCACTTGCAGCATCAATTAGTTCACGTTACGTTTTTTACTGTGCAAAATTCATGTGATCTTCCCATCCAGATCAGTTCTACCAGGTTAGTAAGTGTTCTGCATACGTGTTCTATATTATATGTTTTTTTGGTCTCAACCAATTATATGCAATCAGTATCAATCAGTCATATGAGTTTTTTCGAACGACTTAAGTGACCAACTGTTTTTCCCATTTTGTGAGGCCAGTGCAGTATGCCCAGGTTTTTTGGGGGTAAACCATTTCACCGAACGAACACTCCTTACCCAACTCACTATATTTTCCATAACATTCTAATACTCCAACACTCCTTGTATATCATTATATATCTAACTGTACCATAACATTCTGACAAAATTGTCCCATCGTGAGGAGAGACCTTCCAGTTGGATCGCAAGGCCTTTGAAATCAGCTACGCCCTTAGCAACGAGGCGCTCAGCGAGACCCAGACCTTCAACTTCTGCCGCAGCGCGCGGAAGTCCATCCTGTTGAGTCTCGGGGTGTCGGCGCACGCGGCGGGCAACACGGAACAAGCTCAGGTGGATATCTTGACGCCATATGCCAAGGCGGGTGGATGTTTATATATGTTTAGTAAGACTCTATTGAATTATTGATGTGTATATATATATATAATATGTAATATTATATATAGGGTGATGTCTAGTCTAGACGTTCGATGCATTGTGTACAGATTTTTTTTTGGATCACCTATGTCATGTCTATAGATGTTAGATTCATTGCCTGTAAATCTCGGATCAAATATATCATGTCCAGTAGATTCCTCGACTAGAAAATCAGTTCACCAAGCATTTGCCACCTAAAAATCACCGTTGTTTTTTTTGGAGGCTTGGATCCCTGGAAGGCCTCCAACCAGGCGTGCATGAACGCCTATATGGCTGTGGTCCTGGGTCCAGGAACCTTTCGACTTTCGCGGGCCATTTCCAGATGTGGCTGGCTGATCGGCTTCGGAGCGTTGCCGCCTGGACTTTGCTGGTGTTTCTTTCGGGATTTACCCAGCGATTTACCATCTGGTAATTTAACATAGCGAGAACCATCATTTTACAATAGGTAACTCATCTATTTCCATGGACCGTTTTCCATAGCTATTTTAACTAACGAGGGTAGCATTGAGGGTTGATATTGAAACGGAGAGCTGAAGAGTTGATCTGACATTTCTTGGGGCCCTTTGGATCCCAAAAAGTCGTTCAACTCTAAGGTTGTGCTTGTCCTTGATGCACATCTTCATTTGTCTCAGATTGGTGGAGGTGCCTCAGCTGATTCGTCAAGATGTGCCTAACGCCACCTTTCTAGCCAAGCTCTTTCTGACACGTCGCGCCTACTGGGTGGTGGCGGTGCTCTCTGTGGCGAGTTGGTTTGGTGCCTCTGCCATCCAGCTATCGAATGTCATCAGCAACCTGGCTTGGCAGCAAATGCCGGTTTTTAGCCACCGGAATTGGGGAATCTATATAGGGCATCTAAATTCATATGAATAGATACATTACATATAAAATATGTTATATTATATATACAATGTATTATATGTACTGTATATTTAATATACTTTGTGTTTCTTTTGGAGGGGGCCAGAATCAAATCCAAGGCAACATCCTGACAGTGGTGGCTTTTGATGTGGCAGAATATGCGGATGTGCACAAGTTTCGAGACCTGGCTCGGCTCGCAATGACCGAGTGGTCATTGAATGACTTTTCCATGACTTCTGTTCCTGTCCAAAAATTGGGGGTGAGCTGTAATTTGACTGTTTTTTTTGCCGACTCATTAAACTCGGCCGACTAGGAAATACCGCCCCGTTTGGCTGGAAGCTCTTTGCCGTCATGATGTTGGCAGTAACCATTGTGCCGCTGTCCCTGAAGTCCAGCGCGAAAGATTTGCAAACCAAGGCGTCCTATGCGGTCTATGCCATGCTGGCTATTGGTGCGGTGGAAATGTGCTGCGCCTTCATTCATGGCACGTTTCAGCTTTTAGGTCCCAATCCTATTGATTATGACTCTGGGCGAAGATATGAATTTTCGTTGATTTCCCATCCCGAAAATGTGCGATGATGGGGGCCGAAGTCACGAAATATACATACATATATATATAATATATTTATAATATGTATATATATATAATATTTATAATATATATATATATTATATACATACACATATTGTATACATATTTTTTGAAAACCTTAGTAACCCTAAGAAAAGATAGAACAACAAAATCATCATTTTACCTACCTATCTTTCATTCGGGGATTTTATCTTTTTGGGTGGTGTCTCAAGCACCAAGGATATGGTGGGCAGTAACATCATCGATGGTCTCTTTGATATGGCCTTAGCTTTTGGTGGCATTGCAATCTTGCCGTACGTCCTGGCCGATATGCTTGAGCCCCAAAATGCCCGCAAGGTTGTGACGAAAGCCACCACGCGCATCATGTTTTTCTACTTGGCCGTGGCCATGGTGGGATACTTCGGCTGGGCCAACTCCATTCAGATCATGACGCCTCTGCAGATGATGATGTCCATGAGTTTTGGGTACCAATCCTGTGCGCGCATCATCAGTTTGTTGTTCATCATCAAGACACTGACCACCTTTCCCCTGACTTTCTGGCCTCTATACAGAGCCTAGACACGGCCAACATCAGCCTTTTAATGATTTCCCAGCTTTTGAACAGGTAAAAAAAACCATAAAAATGCGGTTCAACTGTGGTTCAACGTTATTTCGTGGTCAAGTGACATCCCCAATTTTTACTGGTGCTTAGTAGGGAATGAGGGAATGATCTATAATCACTAGTAAAAATAATCCCAGCAACCCCCAGCAACCCATCCATTCCCTACGTAAAACGCACCAGTAAGATGGCTATGGGTCAATACCTATAGAAACATTTTTAGTGGGATGAACATCCATTTACCAGCTATTTTGGGGTTCACTAGGTACCAGGGTTTTGACCCATCCCCAGATTTTTACTGAGGAGAAGTCGAATCTCTCTTGCAACTGGATGAAGTCCTAGGGGTTCAGCTCCACCTGCCCTGGGCTGTGCGTCGTCAGATGGTTCTGAAGGTTGCGACCAAGATCTGTTTGGTGACGATGTGCCTACTGACCTTACTGCTGAATGGCCAAAGTAGCCATCGGTGCCTGGGAAGTTGTTCATTATTTTAGGAATTCTCTATAATACTGTATAGTTTTAGAACATATATATACACATATACACGTACCGTATATATATATATATGTGTGTGTGTTTCAGTTTTAGTGATGTAACCAATTTCTCTTTGTCCATCGCTCCAATCGTAAAAATGATGACATCATAGGAATGACCAGAGAGTTCGCTGGTGAAATTCATGTGATTTCGCCAGGATGGTTCTTCTGTTCATGGGTATCCCTCTGAACGTCTGCCATTTCGCATTTCCCGCTTGTGTTGGATGCCTGGCAATTCGAAGACATTGGCAGCTGTTGAAGACCGGGCAAGAGGCGCGCGAAGACACGGTGGAATATATGTTTCACAGCACCTGGGCCTTGATGAAGGATCCCATGTACTGTAAGGTGTTTGGGGCAGCAACAAATGTGGGTATACACTGCCCATCTATAGATGGCTAGAAACAATTAATTAACCATGACATCACCCATTAAGAGTGCATCAAGAAATCCATCATGTAAGCCATGTAAACAATCTCCAGGCAATCGTTTGTGCATGTTTTCCTTGGGAAAAAGACTTGGCACCGTTCAGGTAAGAAGATCCACTACTGGTCTGTACATGTCATGGCCGCTGTGATGATCGCCATATGTTTGGGGCTCTCCAGTTATATGGTGCTCAACCTGCAAAGTGCCCCAGATCCGCAAGATGGTTGTTCCTTGTGGGACAAATCTTGTGACATCGATCCCGGGGACCGAGTTCCGTGATGCTGAAAAATCTGAGTCAGGATGGGGATGGGGAGGGGTGGAACACCAAGGGTCACCAAGGTCATCCCTGATCCGACAGGTCTACTAGGTCTACTATGTTGATGTTTGGGAACTAGGCTACCAAGCTGTTGAAGGACATAGACACAAGTGGAAAAGGGAAGCACCGAGGAGGACTACCGCTGAGTCATTTGACAAATGAAAAAGAAGAGGCTCAGAGGTCTAGACTCTGCACCAATGTCTCCCGTCCTTGCCGTTAAACCTCCATCCGGACAGTGGTTGGGTATTATGATCTTTATGAATTCTTGAATCATGTTTGTTAAACACACTCTTCGTCAAATCGATAGACATGGATTTGCAATTGTTTCCGTGGAATACGACGTTTCCATATGTGCCATTGCTCAAGACTTGCTTAAATTACTGTACTCATATTGGTGCCATGGTCATCAATCCATTTTCACATGGCTAAACATATTATAAGTAAGTCAGTGATGTTTGGATTCGCATCCTGAGATGACCTTGTTGTCCACATAGGTTCCATCAAATCCCTTGAAACTTGTTGGTGGAGTCACCACTTTCAGGGCTCCAATCCATTGTAGGTACCCTCTGGTTATGACTAACATAGCCATGGTATAGATGGCCCATAGAAATAGATGGTTTACCTATTAAAAATGGTGGATCTTTCCATGGCTATATTAAATAACCAGATGGTAAATCTTTAGTTTCCACCTTTGGGGGGAAACTGTTTTTTTTTGCGCCAGGCAGACTACCAGAGCGTGACCAAGAGCCAGATGCCCAGCGATGCCCAGCTTTCATCAAAACTATTTCATTGAAATGGTGAGATATGGTGATATAGTGTGTATGCATATCACCATATGATATTACAGTACAGTAATCACCATAATAATATAGCTGCATTGTGATATATGGTGATGTGGTGATATGGTGATTTTTTTCTGCATATGATATTCAGAAGTACATTGTTATACAGTGCATATCTGAAATATTCATGATGTCTATCACCTTATCACCTACATACCATGCACCATGAGTGATGTCTATAAATATGGCGACAATGCATAAATCTAAAACATCGCTCAGCTACTCAACTGCTTGAGGTGAGTTGCGGCGCCAATGGTCCGCATCTGAGCCGCGGATTTGGGAAGGATGAGGGGCCTCCTGCAAACATCCAACAAGATGTGGAAAAAATAGAATTGACAGATCATTTAGGAAAACCAGCGGTTTTTCACATCTATGCAAACGTAAAAACCCTAGGGTATGAATGGTTGGATTCTCTAGCAATTTGGCCAAGAAAAGAAGCCTTTTTTGATCTGTGCAACATGGGGAGATCAACCATGATGGGTCCTTGCCAAAGGTCGGTGTCGGTGAATTCGTCCAAGTACTGGAAATCAACACCAAACAAACCACTGAAGTTACTGAAGTACACATGTTGCTGATCTGTGGCTGAATTTTTGGGGGCCCGATTTGAAGCCCAGAATTTCTTGGGGTCCCCCTAGACGCTTGCACACTTTCAGCAGGTCTGCACCAATAAGAAACACCTTGAAGACGAAGGTGACCAGTGCTGGGCCGCTGGGAAGTGACCTGAGATTCACCTGAGAAGTCTGTTGTAAATCAGCAACCAACAAAGATGGTGGACAATGGTAACCTGGTGGACATTGGGACATAGGGGGGAAATCTCCTCAAAGTCTCTTTGAGGGTCTGCATTTTTTGATGTACCAAGCCTATGCAGAGCAAATCTATACGACCCGAAATGAGCAGTTGCCAAAACCCATAGCTGATGACCGTTTTTTGCAGATCAATGTTCCATAGGTTCCCAATATTCACGAGGAACATCAACCAAAAGACAACACACTCGCTGCAGGCAAATGATTACTTCCAATCCCTTCACTTTTGTACCTGGGCTCAACTGAAAGCCTCCCACATTGAGCAGGCCAGGCAGATGGGTCAGTGCTTTGGGATGTGGCCGGTCAGGGAGATGCACGAAAAATTGTTTGTTTCCGTTTTCAAGACAAGATATGAAGATAATCTGAAGATATATGAAAACTATTGAAAACTTGCGGGTCTAAACAATTGTAGCCGGTTGTAGCCGATGGGTTTGCCATGTCCACCATGACTTTGGCACCGACAGTTCGATAGTCTCGGTGTGTCAACGCCTGGGACAATTTTCTCGGACATGTTGATCGAAGAAATGATCAGAAATCACTCAAAAATTATTCCCTAAATCCAAACATGTGATAAGAACTCGAAAAAAACCAACAACAATCTATCTAGAAAATCACCAAACTTCCCAAATCCAGAAAGCCTTATCCTTCCCAATGTTTGCCATTTTTTTGGTGGCAAGATCCCCTCCACGGCCGTGTCAGGACAGTTGGCAGCGTCTGCCTGTAGCCAGGCAAGGGATCTACCGTTGATTTCCGGGATGATTTTCGGAGCCTTCGGGATGATCAGCAATCTATTTAATAGGGAATCCATCGGAATAGCAGTTCAACTCATTTTTTCAACTCATTTTGAAAAATAGCAGTTTTTGTCATCGCTGGACAGATTTTTTTCAGATGCTGCGATTTGGCCAGCTAAACGCTTGTTGTAATCATCAGTGGACCCAACGTCCCCCTCCTTGTGGTGAAACCCAACAGGTTCAGGGCCGGATGAGAATCATCAATTTGTTAATGTCATTCACCAGTCATGTTTTGTAATCCCTTTCGTTTTTTTCGGAGGTTCCCCTTAAAACAGTCACCATGAACCCATCATTGGGTTGACAGCATTTGGGGTTGATGATTCATGTATGACTCCCCCCATCTTGAGATGTCGGCAAGCTGGGCCCTGTCTTCAGTTGCTACGTCAAAGTTCCAAAGTTGAGATGGTTCCCACCATTATATAATCCATAATATACACCCCCTACATTAAATTTAACATAGAAACTAAAGAATCGCCCACATTCAGTGGGACATCATCTTCAACCCAGTTTGATCCATTTTACAGGAACATCTTCCAGAATAGGAATTGTTGATCTTCCAGATGTAATTTTTGGTGAAATTCAAGGGCATTTTTCACATCTGGGGACATCCTGACAGCTGCTTCTCCGTCAGGAACTATCGCCTCCTACGGGCTGAGCGACTGAAGCCAGTGTGAATGCTCAGTGGAAGCGGGGACAGTTAGGTTGATGGTTGATATGGTTGGCTCAGGAGAGGCCATGAAATTATCCCTTTTTTTAGTGTTTTAAAGCCAGTTAGTCGATGCCTAGTTGATGGCTTTTACTGTCTAAAATCAGCTGCCCACTAGAAATCGCTAAAAATTGCATCCCGTGAAGAGTCCCGTTCCATGTAAATGGACGAATCCCCTATTGATTGTGGAAGGTGATACTCCCCCATTCAGGAAACCAGAAAGTGGGGATGAACCCGGGACTTTCAGGGTTTCCGTGGTGATTTAATCAGCCCATGGAGATTCAACCAGCGGTTGGAGTAAGATGATTCTATGATTTCATCGATGGTTACTCCATATTAGCCATATTAGCCATTGGAATCAATTAACATTGATTACTGGATGATCTGGATGGGTAGAAGAATGATTTCTGTGGCTCAAACACTGTGGTTTTTTTTTCGATGTTTGGAGTATCCTCAAAGAGGGTCATGGTTGTTAGCAACATCCAACAGCGGGTGAAGCAACAATGACGGGCCGTTTCTGTAGCAGATGTCTTAAACGTCCCAAGATCCCAACGGCCAACAATTAGGCCCTATTTTTATGGCTTAGATGCTAATCAAGAGCCCAGATGTTGAAGTGTTGAGTCGTCTAGAATGTTGGAAAAGTATGGAAAAGTTGCATGAAATGACATCATGTCGCTATATTTGGTTCATTAATTCATAGTCATTAAATCATATTAATCAGCAAATGATTTTTGAGACAACATGATACAACCCAGTTCTCTTTGAGTTCGGTGGATGATTTGGTCGACCTGCCAGGTGCTGCCGAAAACAGAGGCAAGGCGGCCGCGTGGTGAAACTTGGTGCAAGACTCCACTGGATTGAGTTTCGGTGTAAAGGGCACTCGGCCAAAAGGCCCAAACCATTTGGATGCTGAAAATACATTATATTGTAGGCTGCTTGGTGCTTTGGAACATGTTTTTTTTCTCCATCATCATATTGGGAATGTCATCATCCCAACTGTTACTCAGTCCATCATTTTGAAAAGAGGGGTAGGTTGAAACCACCAACCAGCTATATAGATCTATATATAGATCTATATAGATGATTTACCACTAACCATCATCAACCATCACTAACCATTAACCACCAAGCAGTCCTAAAATTTAAAGGGTAGGTCAACCACCAAGCAGTAGGCCTTAGGGGAAACTGGAGTGCCGCAAGCGCGCTGGGAATCAGAGAATCCAAAGTCAATGTGACAGAAATGAATAGCATGCGTACTTTCTATCAGTTGTACGTATTTCATGTATATATAACTATATACTATATGTACATATATATATGTTATATATATATTATACAATTCTGTACAGGCATGTTCACTATCAATACACACCAAACAATGATTATCAATATTGCATGATTTCAGGGTGATTTCAGGGTCAGTTTGTGTCAGATTTCAGCTTTATTTAGTGGACTCAGTGGGCAGGTGAAGGATCAGTTTGGAGCTCAACTCATCGGGATGGGAATGGTGAAACGAATGGTGAAACGAATGGTGAAACGAATGGTGAAACGAATGGTGAAACGAATGGTGAAACGAATGGTGAAACGAATGGAATCCACCAAGATATGGGTGAAAAAAAAATACATGGTGAAAATGTTGTTGACATGTTGCTGCCTGGATACATCATGATACATCTGAATCCGACACATCAGATATCACCAAATAGTTCGAATCATGTTGGGCTTGCCAAGACAGATGGCGAGATACCAGTTGACTATGCGCAAGAGCAGGGCTATCCAACGGGCACACATTGTGTGTTTAGCCAGAACTAGGGAGTATACTTACCTGATATTTGAGGCTTGTATTTTAACTTGAACATCAACACAAGTAAGTTGATGATATGATATCCTAAGATTAAGATCGGATTGTATATGCACATATATATATACATATATATATATACATACATATATATATACATATATATATATA